CGATAGGACAGCTCCCAATCCTACTTCAGATGCATCTTATTGTAAAATGAATTCTTTGTTGAAGTCTGGGGCTATACGCACGGGGTTACTGCAGAGGGCTGTCCGTAGATCCATGAATGCTTTCTCTGTGGCATCTGTCCACTTTACCATGTCTTGACCCCGGGCTTTTATCAGGTCTGTCAGGGGACTTGCTCTGGTAGCAAAATGGGGAATAAATCGTCAGTAGTACCCTACCACACCCAGGAATGCCCAGACTTACTTTTTCCGATTTGGCCGGGGCCAATTTTGGATAGCTTCTAGTTTTTTAGTTGGGGCTTGACCATGCCCCTTCCTACAATGTAGCCAAGGTATTTAGCCTCGGCTAGCCCTATAGCACACTTGGCTGGGTTGGCTGTGAGGCCAGCCTGTCTTAGCAAGTCCAGAACTGCTTCCACCTTTCCTAAGTGGGTTTCCCCGTCGGGGGTATGAATAATCACATCATCCAGGTATGCCGCTGCATAACTGGTATGGGGCCGTAGGAGCTTGTCCATAAGACGCTGGAAGGTGGCAGGTGCCCCATGCAGTCCAAAAGGAAGAACAGTACATTGAAACAGACCCTCTGGCGTAGAAAATGCCATCTTTTCTTTCGCATCTTTGGCAAGGGGAATCTGCCAGTATCCCTTTGTTAAATCAAGGGTGGTCAAAAATCAGGCGTTGCCCAGGCGGTCAATACGGGGTATGCATCGAATTTGGATATCTCATTCAGCCAGCGAAAGTCATTACAAAACCTAGTGGTGCCGTCGGGTTTGGGCACCAACACAATCGGGCTTGACCACTGACTGTGGGACTCTTCGAAGACTCCCAGCTCCAACATCTTTTTACCTCTGCCTTGATCTCCTCCCTTTTTGCTGCTGGGACCCGATAGGGCCTTAAAGTTACCTTTGCCCCAGGGTCTGTGATAATGTGGTGATATGCTTCGGTGGTCCGGCCCAGTTTAGTTGAAAACACGTCCTGGTATCGGTTGATCACCTCAGTTACCTCCTTCTTCTGGTTTGGTGTCAGATCAGTAGATATCCTGATCTGTTCCTGCATATTATTTCCCTGGATCAGGGTCTCTTGGGCCACGACACTTGCCTCTCATTGGTGCCAAGGCTTTAAGAGGTTAGTGTGATAAATTTGTTCTTGTTTCCGGTATCCTGGCTGCCGTACCTTATAGGTTACTTCCCCGACAGGTTCAACCACCTCATAGGGCCCCTGCCATTGGGCCAAAAGCTTGATTTCTGCCGTTGGTACCAACACCATCACCCAATCCCCTGGTTGGAACTGTCGGACTTTTGCCTGGCGATTGTAATGGGTTTTCTGGCCTCCTGCGCCTTTTCCAAATGTTCCCGTACAATAGGAGTGACCCGGGCTATCCGTTCTCACATCTGCAGTACAACCCATTCCCTGCTCTCATCGCTGGACCCTGCTGCCCCTCCTATATGACCCCTCCAGCCATCATCTCCCATAGGCCATCCCCACCACTCTCCAATACCAGGCTGTTTTCATAATGGAAGCAGGCTTGTAACAGAGTTCACTCACCGGTGCCCCTTCCTCACAACGCCTGGTGCCACAGCTTTCTTGCTGGGCTAGTACCCCGGCCGATAGTCGCTAGGGCACTCTGGCAGTTTTTTGCCTGGGAACTCAGCCATTCAGCCAGGTGACCGTCTTTTAGTCCGCTCCTTCCTGGGTCGTGCTCATCCCAAACTAAAAGTCCAAAAATGTCTTTAACAGAAACAAGGTCCTCTGTCCTGTGGGGGGCTCTTCCCCAGCCTGACTTTGGCTCGGCCTATCCTTGCTGGCCTTGGTAGCCCTTTCTATGGCCTTGTACATCCCCTTCCTTAAAAGACCATGGGAGAACCAGTCCTACCCTGGATTCTCGGTTCTGCCCCAAGGCCCTGTACCGAACAGCTAGGCCTGCTCCTGTACCTTTGCTGCGGTTTTCCCTGGTTTTCCCCTCAGGCGGAGCTCAATCTGTGATCCATTTGGCCTAGTCCAGGCTTTATAGCCCACTGGCCAAGCCCTCCTCTTATATACCCTCCTCCTTAGTACCTGGCCCACACGGGGAACAAGTTCTATTCTTCTCCAAGCTTCGTCCCTCGTCATCTCGTCGCTGTCACCGGCTGCGCGCTTGTACAGCCTGCACGCACCGAGTCTCCAGCTCCACTGCCAGCTTGCTCACCAGAATGCAGAGGCATCCTCCTCTTCTGCAGGATCCCAGCGCTCTTCCTGCAGCCCCTCATTCCCATCAGCCGCTGCTTGCAGAGCCTCTTCGGAAGCCTTTAGCTTCTTCTGTAGCCTCTTTGCTACTGTCGCTGCACACGCCAAAACCTTTTCCGTCAGGGTCGGAGAGCCCACCATGGACTGCTCCACCCTTGTGTCTGTCCCTACTTCAGTCAGCTTCATCTCTGGGCCAACCATTTCGTCCTTCACCTCCTTGCAGCACCCGACAGGGTGTGTTGGTGGAGGGTCTGCAAGGTCCACGGCCATCCCTGACACCTCCACGTTGCCTGCCCCATGAGGGTTTACTTCTCCTTTCCTTGTACCTTCTTGGGACCCTGGCCCCTCCTTTTGCCACTCAGCAATTTCCTAAGCAGGCCTTGTCTTTCAATATGGCCTGTTTCTCTGCACCCAAAACAAAGAACTCTTGTCCCCATCTTGGCATTAGGCCACGCTTGGACACTTTCTCATGCCCTGCTCTCCTGGGCTAACCTTCTCAGCACAGCCCAGGCATGCTCTCCGTGTCTTCTCTTTTTGGCCATGGGCACAGCAGACCCTGGGTTGATTTCCCTTTGCAGGATCTCTCACAGGTTTTGCTGCTGCTGAGTCTGTAGCTCCGCCTGCACTTCCTTCGGCTTCTGTTGCTTTTCTTTTTTCTTTTCGGGGGGGGAGGGATAGCTCAGTGGTTTGAGCATTGGCCTGCTAAACCCAGGGTTGTGAGTTCAATCCTTGAGGGGGCCATTTAGGGATCTGGGGCAAAAATTGGGGACTGGTCCTGCTTTGAGCAGGGGGTTGGACTAGATGACCTCCCTTCCAACCCTGATATTCTATGATTCTAGGAGCTGCTGGAGAAACCCCTAGACCTACAGGGACTGGTTAAGCAGCCAAAGCAACTGAAGTGGGAAATCCAGTGACCAGCTCGGTCCCCCGATACACTCGCTTGGGAGGACAGACCTTCCTTCAGCAACCAAGCCTTCCATCAGCCCTCACGGATCACAGGGGGAATTCAGTCCTTCTGACTATGTCAATCAGAAACGAATCTACTCATTGTTACGTGCCCCCGGCGGCCACACATGGCATCACAGCCCTCGCGCTGGGCTAGCGTCCCGCATCCATGGTCACTCCAGCACCATGGTAATTTCTCTGCCTGATAACTCACCCCGCCAGCCAGGTCACCACCTTTAGTCCACCTTTCTGGAGCCCAGTTTATCTCACACTAAAAGTCCAAAGAGGTCTTTCCACAGAAGGAAGTTCTTCTGCCAGTGCTGGGGCTCTTGCTCAGCCTGCAGCCCCCTTGCAGGGCTTGGTAACCCTCTCTGGGAGCGTGTACGCCCCCTTCTTTGGGGCCAGTAGGGGAACCCAGTCCCACCCTGACATTGGTAGCAGCCCAGGACCATGTACCCAACAGCTTGGTCTGCTCCTTTCTCTTTGCTGCACTTTTCCCTGGGCACTTCCTACCTTTCTTCTCAAGTTCCCCTCTAGGCTTTCCTTGCTGCTCTGAACTTCCTACCTCCTTCTCATTCCTATAGATTCCCCAGCTGGGCTGGATCACCACTGAAGTCTGGCTCTTTAGGGGGAGATACTTGGTGCCTCTCAGGTAGGGCTCATTCTGTAATCAGCTTGGCGAAGCCCCAGGCTGTGCAGCCCAGAGGAAAGCACCCTGTTACAGGCCTGCTCTGCCCACTTCTACTGTGACTAGGCTGGGGTCCTTGCTCCCCATTTCAGACCTGGTTTCCAGAGGGGCTGAGTACACACAGACCCCAATGCCTGGAACTGGAGTTTGCTTGTTCTGGTGACTCTGACATTCAGGCCCTTCATCATTCAGAGGCTGACAGGTGTGGTGAGGGCACTGGAGAAACCCCACTGCTCAGCAGAAGGAGGTCAAAGAGTTGGGATTCTGGGAGCTGATGGGTTAATTCGCCCCGCTGTGGGAAGTGGAGCTGGAGACCGGACATGCCATGGGAACGAGACTACCTGACCCTCTCTTCATGCCCGAGGGGCTGGAGCCTCCTACCGGAAATGCTTTCAGGAGTCCAGGTTTGAGGACATCTCTGGGGAGCCCCTTCCTAGGAACAAAACCAGGGTGGTACGATGATGGAGACATCTCTGTCCCAGAGCTGGGAAGCCAGGGATGGGGGAAGCTCCCAGACAGGCTATGCAGCGGGGATCCCATTTCTCCCCCAAGAGACCCACATGCCCCAACGAGTAAATGGCTCTTCCCTCCATGGGGGAGTGGGGTCTTCCATCTAAGCCTCTTTGAGGGCCAGCATTGCTTGCTTTGATGGGATGAGGTGACCTGTCCCCACTGCTCCCTGAGGCGGCTCAGCTGGCCGGCTGTGCCGGATCCCAGGGCCTGGAAGACAGCTGGGAAGGAGACTCCTATTCATTTCGCATCCAGACACCCCATAGAAGGGCCAAGGGGAGAATAAAGGGCAGGAGGTGAAGCTAGCCCTGAGCCTCTGTCCCACCCCACCTCCTCAAAAGTGGGGCTCGGGGCTGTGGCCCTGACACAATGGCCCTACTGCACCATATGGGTCAGGGAGAGCTCTGCCTGGGAGCAGGGGGAATGGGATGGGGGTAGACCAAGGAAAGCAGGGAGGGGAATGGGTGTGAGGGAAATAGCTCTTGCCCCCAGAGGAAGGAATTGTGGGGGCAGAGGGAAGGACCCTGCTCCACAGAGAGGGGGGAGAGTTTTTGTGAGTGCCAGGGGGCTCCATTTCCTCTTCCACTAGCTGCCCATTTCCAGTAAGCCAGAGCAGTACCTGCAGCCGGGAGCGGGAGCTGCTGGTGGTCTCAGAGGCATGGCACCTGGCGCAAGTGCCGAATGATGTGGAGCTCGCGGGTTCACATTGGCCGTAATGGCCTCCTGCTGCAAGGGAACGAGAACTTGTCAGAGACTCAGATGCCCTCAAGGAATCAGGGGATTAAGGGCACCTGGAACCAGCAGCATTTCCACCCAGTCCCTGCCACCTCTGAGGGATGGATTCACCCTCCTGATCCCCAGAATGGAGTCTTGTTGTCCTTTCTAGTGACCTCCAGTGCCAACTCCCCTCCTTGTAGGGTGAGCGCCTGCCACCTCCCCCTCAGTGCCCCTGACAGCTGTTCCACCTCCAATCCACAGCTCAACTTCTCAGACCCCTCTCCTCTGCCCCCACCCAGGGAGGGGGCTCTAGCAGGGGGCACAGGAGGGATTCTGGCAGCAGTGAAGTGAGATGTGGGGAGGCTGAGACCTTTCCCCAAGTCATCCCAGTCACTAATGCTGACGCCACAGGATGGCAGGCCTGGTGAATGGGCAGATCAGTGGCCCCTGCTGACTGAATCCCCCCATTCTCTCTAGAGCGGGTCCAGCCCTGCCAGCAGCAGGACAAGCTTCCCCCGCCCATGTGCCTCAGTCCTGCCTGGTCAGTCGCCATCCCCAGTGAGTCCTTGGCCTCCCAGGCTGCCAGTGATGGGAGCAACTCTGGGTGGTGGCTCGGATGACACGAACACTAGGCCACTGGGAACTGGGTACGGCCCTGTGGGACAGGAGAGGCTCGCAGAGGGCACTTAGGGGACTCTTCTGCCCTTCCCAAGAGCGATAGCACCATGTCCTAAGAACATAGGTCCACGATGAGGTGACGCTTTTGTCATTAATTAGCCTGGCTAAAGAGCTGGGTTGGAGCTTCTCTGGGGACAAGTTCTCTCCCTCCTGCTCATGGAGGTGAATTCATCTCCCTCTCATTCCCCACCAGGCTCCTTGCTGCCAGGCCAGCGAATGGTGTTAGGATGGGAATGAGGCCTGGGCCCCACCCCAATCTCCTGAGTCTAATCCCGCTGTTTACCTTGTCCCCCATCAGCTGCTGGGCTTCCCCCAGGAGGGAGAAGGCCAGGACCAGCCCAGCCTGGCTGACACGCAGCAGGGGGTCGTGGATGGCCAGTACTGCCGTCCAGAGAAGCAATCTTCTCTGCCCCTCCGAGAAGAACTTTCTGAAGACCTAAAACAGACAGGGCGTGAGGCATTAGCAGATTGAAGGCTGGCTCTGGGCAAATCCTGGGGCTAGAACAGCATCTCCGTCTAGTGGCCCCAGGAGGTAGCCACTGCAGGGGACCCAGCCACCCCCCCCACTCCCTGAGCTGTCTCACGCCCTGGCAGAGTGTCCTTACCTCCTGCACCCGGGCTGTGTTCCTGTAGCCCAGGAGCCTGCAGTCCTGGTGCCAGTCGCAGCACCACAGGTCTTCGGCCTCATGGATGGTCAGCCCCGGGAAAGAGACACACACACGTTTGTCATTCTGGTTGCCGTCCGTGTGTCCTTCCAATCCCATTGGTGGCTGCACAGTGGGCAGAGGCCTCGCTGCGGGCCTGGCCCAACAGGATTGCAGGGGCTGGTGTAGAACAGAGAAAGAGAGAGAGAGAGACTCATCCTCCAGCCGGGGTCAGTCTGAGAGAAATTGGCTGGGGTCCCAGTCTCATTCTTCTAGCGGGTGCCATTTCCCCGCTGGGTTCCTTAACCCTCTGGTGCAGCAGCAGCGGGTAGAGCCAGTAAACACGTTCCCTGGCCTGCCGGCTGATGTCCTTGGCTGGGTCACCGATGGACAGAGCCAGCTGTGCCACACGGTGACCCATCCTGGGGAATTCTGCTGAGTTCTAATGGAAGGGAGAGGGAGAGGGGACTCCATCAGCATTTTCCTGTCAGCTTCCAGGCCCCGCTGGGTCCAGGACTCTCCTTCCCCCTCAGTCCCCTCTGCAGGAGATGCTAGAGGATAGGACCTAGAGTTAGACCCTTAATTTCCTCTGCCCCCAAGGGAGCCTGGAGCACAGGGATGTGGGCAGGGCCCTTCATGAGGACTTGCTTCCCCAGCTGCTCCAGGATGACAGGAAGGCATGAACCTGGAGCATGGTCCCCTTGAAAGCCCAGAGTCACCACTTAACCAGGACAAGAAGAACTTGACTCAAGCCAAGCTCAATCTCTGCTCTGACTCTGCCTCCCCAAGAGGAACACTCCTAATCCACAGCCCCTGCAGCTGCAGATCCTACAGCCAGTTGGAGCCAACCCACCCACACCTGGAGTCAGGAAGCCAGGGTCAGAGGCCACTTATGTCAAACTCAGGGAGGGTGATGGTGAATCTGAGTAGGGCCGTGCTGCTTCTAATGGCCCTGCCTCTCTCTTGCCACACCCTGGACACAATCCAGTAGTTAATGTGCTGTGGGGAAAGGAGGAAGCTCAGGATCAATGGGCAGGTGCATGTGTTATGCAGATGGGACCCTCCCCCTATCCCCAGGGGGCTGAGACATTGTGTGCAGGGTGGAATATCTGAGTCATTGATCGCAGAGCTTTAGGTATGCATCTGATGAAGTGAGCTGTAGCTCACGAAAGCTCATGCTCAAATAAATTGGTTAGTCTCTAAGGTGCCACAAGTATACTCCTTTTCTTTTTGCGAATACAGACTAACACGGCTGTTCCTCTGAGAGCTTTAGAAGGGGAATGTTGCCCTCAGGACGATGCTTGTATCCTGCAGGTCACAACTTGTCATTGTCTCTAGACTGGAACAAAGGTCGGTTTCAGGGCTGGTCCCATCCTCCCTGAACTCCTGATTCCTGAACAGCTCACCAGGAAAGAGACAGACCCCTCACCCAACCCTGGCTGTCAAGTCCTTGACTGGAGGAAGGGACTGAGTGGGAGCACAATCCTCCCAGGAATCTCAGGGCCCGTTGCAGAGAAGGGCTGATTCTCTGGGGTCCTCCTGTTTGTCTAGGAAGGAGCCTGTGACTCTTCTCTGAGGACCATCTTCTGGATCTCACAGGAAGGGTTCAGACTCCCAAAGCCAGCCAGGGGCCCTGTGGTTAGTGCTCAACAGAACCAGGCAGAGCTCTGGCTTCAAGTCCCAGTTCCTTCCTCTGTCCTTCAAGGAGGAAGGGCCTGACACTGCATTGCACTGACTGCCCTGACCAAGGACAACCCACTGGGGGCCCAGCTAGGAGGACAGACTGGAAAATGGATAAAAGAGTGAAGGTAAAATTGCCCCCACCCTTTTCATCAGACTCACCACCAAGATGTAGTGGAGCTGGTCGGTGTCTGGGGACTCTGCCAGCAGGTTCCCCAGCAGGGCATCCAGGAGGTCTGGCAAGACCCTATGCAGATCCTGCAAAGCAAGGGAGAGCCATGGGTCAGAGTTAGGGAAACTGGGGCTACACCTGCCACAGGATGGGACGAGAGGTCTCTGGGAACCACTGGTGAGACCCTCAAACACATATCCTGGCCTGTCTCATTCACATCGACTGCAGGCAATTAGCAAGGATCCATGACAGGATGACAGCTGGCTCTTCAGTCCATGACTTTAGCATGATCTACCTGGACTTGGGTGATGTCCTTCTCGGTGCCCAGGGTGAAGACGGCATGCAGGGCAGCTCGAAGGAGGTGGGTCTCCAGATCTGGCTCCAGGGCAGGTGTCATGGTGCTGGCAAGAAAGAGGAGCCGGTATTAGACTGTGTAGTGCGGGGGTGGGACTGGCACCAACACGCACGTGAAACCGCAGGGAAATAGGCACAGGCTGGCGAGAATGGAAACTGAGGCACCGAGCCAGGGAATGACAAGGCCAAGGTTTCCCAGACAGACAGTGGCAGAGCAAAAATGGCCCATGCTGCCCCTCCTTATCTGATCCGGGGAGTGAGCTTCTCCCCAAAGCCATTGCACTCTTACTGGAGTGAAAAGAACACCGCAGCCAGGAGAGAGGAAACCTTCCCACCACCTCTGCCAGAGGAGCCACCCTTGGGAGGTGACCTCGGAGTGGGAGGGGCCATGACTCCCAGCCCTGGGCCTGAGCAGCACCGGGGTTAGGGGAACCGGGCGGGAGGGTCTCAGTACCTGAAGTTGCCCACAGCAATCAGGGAGTTAACAAGGAAGGTGCCGGGTGGAGAGCTATCAGGAAGCTCCTCAATGAGCTCTCGTGAGACCCAAAGGAGATAAAGGAGCATGTGAGATTAGGGCTCGCTGACACTTCCCAGCAAGGAGATTACCCAGCCAGGGTCCCACACAGCCAGCAGGATCCCCACACCTGCCTCCCGCTCCTCCGATTCCTGCCTGCTAGTGACCAATCTCCGAATTTCTCCCGTCCCTTCTTCCCAGTCTTCAGCCCCAGCCATCCCCCATCCATTGGCCCGGGGAGACCCCTGCCCCTCCCATGTCTCTGTCCTCCCTCCAGCTGCCGGGTGCCATGTCTCGCTCACCACAATCCTCTCCACCACAGCCACCTTGCAGCAGTGCAGCTCCAGTGTGTCCTGCCCTCTCTGCTGTGCAGCGAGACACACGGGGTGGATGGCGGGCAGGAACCTGAGCTGCTGGGCCTCATCCTGCATCTACCAGGAGTGGGGGTAGGGGAGAGAAAGCCAATTAGCCAGGGACCTCCCTGCCCCACCCACACCAGCTGCAGGACTCAGGCCTGAATGGGAGATAGTGGGGACCCGCCCACTGTCCAAATCACCCGTGACTCCTACACAAGCAGGGTCAGGAACTGGGACAGTGCCTGTGGGAGGAGGAGATCCTGGCTGGTGTGTGACAAACACCCCCATCTTGGGGGTCCCAGATCATGGAGGAGAAAGGTCCCCATTAGGGCTGGTGGATCATCAGAGACAAGACCCTCTGCAAGGGGTCAGGGTGCTGGGAAAGGGCAGGACAATCTCAGTTCCAGCACAGCTGGGGAAGGTTTGTATCTTTTCTCTCCCCTGGAGCTGCTCTCGGATGTTACTGAGAGCAGCCTCCTCTGTGGCCACGTCCACCCATTCCTGCTCTGAGTCCCTGGGGGTCCCTGCACCAGGGAGAGAAGGGGACAGGGTGACACCTGCAGTCACTTAGAGAAAGGACAAGGGCATGGTAGGGCAATCTGCCCTCTTCCCACCTCCGGACCCAGGGCAGATCGGGGCCCACACTCCCCCCTCTCAGTGATGCTTTCAGCCCCCAACTCCTTCAGGAGCCCATAGCAAAGGGACACCCTCACACTGTCCTGGGCCCCCTGGGAGGTGCCTTCCCCCACACCCAACTGGAGCACCAAGGACCCAAGTGGCAGCATCTAGTATCAGTGAGGTTCATGTGGCTCAGGCCAGACACCTGGGCTGGGGACCTGCCCCCGTAACACTGGTTGAGGGCCTGGGCCCAGGGTGTTCACAGCCCCCTCCTAACCCTCCCTGAGCCCAGCCTGGCTCCTCAAATGGAACAAAGCAGCGGCGCCCATCAGCCTCACTGCTGCTCGAGTCCCAGGTGCTGCCGCTGTCCCATAGGGAGCGGCCCAAGCTGCTGGTTCTGCGGCAGGGATCCTCCACCTCCTGCCCTGGGGAGGCTGGAAGGTCCTCAGTGCCTGGGCAGGGCAATGCCTCCTGCTGGGAATCAGGGCTGGGCTCCTGGGGCCGGTGCTTCCCACACAACAAGCCTGCACCGGGAGCGGGTTTCCTCTGCCAGAAGGCTGGGCATTTTCACCTCCTGGCCCAGCTGGGAGCTCCTTCCCCGCCAGCAGGGATGGAGGGGCTGCTCTGCTCCTGGGGAAGATGGCAGCTGCTTCCCTCAGGCTCCGGGGCCACCTGCAGAGCCTTCTTCCTGAACACCCCCAGGAGCCTTGCTGACCTGGACCCAAGCGGGAAGCAGGCGTGAGTCTGGGCTCAAGGCAGCCTCTCGCCAGCCTGTTTGGTCCCTCCCCATCCCTGCCCCAGCCAAAGCAGCTCCTCCTCCCTGCACAGGGGTGCAGGGAGTGCAATCCACACACACTGAAGTCCGGACTTCTCCTGGGAAACCATTCCCAACATCAAAGTCCCTAGGCATAGCAAGCCCTCAGCCCCCTCGGTTCCCATTGATTTCCATGCTCAGCAGCTCACATGGTCTGGCCCAGCTCAGAGACTCTCAGCCTGGGGAACAGTCTCCCACAAGGGAGGGCTGGGAGCCCCATTGCTGGGACATTGCCAAACACACTGGACACGGCTCTGGAGAAGCCCCTTTCCGTCTGAGAGTGAGGGGCTCCTGGGGGTGGTTTGCAAATCCAATCTCCTTTGGGAGAGATTCTCTCCCCCTCTTTCTGCCTCTCCCCAGACAGACAGGGGACGCCACAGAGGAACCCTAATGCCACTCACTTGCTCTAGGTGATGGAGCGATGGATGGTGGATGTTCAGGGTCGACAGCTGTCCCTCGCCCTCCTCCTCACTCGCCAAGCCCAAGGCAGGCTGCAGAGGGTGGTGACCTGAGGAGTTACCCTGCCCAGCCAGCAGGCAGGGTGATGACACTGGGCACTTGACTGGCTAGGAAAACAAGAGTCTGTCTTATTGCCAAGGGACGGAGAAACTCAGCCAGCCGCAGGGGGTGCAGAACACCACGCTAGTGTGGGGGTGACAGTGCCTCCCAGCTCCTGACATCCCGGCACTTTACACACCTTCCTGGAGCCTCCCACCACCCTGGGCTTTAGGGACTGTGACAACAACCCTACTGATGAGAACAGGCCTGGGGAGGGGAAGCTCCTGGCTCAGGGTCACCCCACGTGCCAGAGCCAGGGATGGGACCCAGCAGTCTTTATTTCCAGGCCCCTTCACTAACCACAGCTGCACACTCCCTCCCACAGCCTGCAGTTACAACCAGGCCCTCATGACCGGTCCCCCTGTCTTTGAGAGGGAGTGTGCTCTGTTGTAAAGACTAGATCAGGGGACTGGGAGTCAGGACTCCCGGGTTTCATTGCTGGTTTTCCTATTGACCTGTGGGACTTTGGGCAAGTTGCTCCCCATTCTAGGGCTCTGTCCCCAGCAGTCAAATGGGGATTTCATACTTTCCCACTATTGGAAAGTCCTGGGAGAATCACCCAGCAAAAGCTGGTCTGACAGTGCGAAGCAGCATCTGCCCATTACAGGTCGGAGCGCACTGCCCAGGAGGAGTGTTTGGCTCTGGGGTTTCACTTCAGCCCAGTCTATAGAGAGGGGCCCAGCCATGGAGTTTGGTTCAAGAAGACCAAGTCTCCAATTAGTTAGGGCCGTTTTGAATTCCAATCCTGTGCTCCAAAGTGCTTGTTGTCATCTGTACATTTTAGAAGCATACTCTCCACTCCATTTTCCAAATCCTTCATGAAAATATTGAATAGTACCGGACCCCGGACTGATCCCTGCCGGACACACTAGGTACATCCTCTCCGTTGGACAGCCAAACATGGAGAAGGACTCTTGGAGTATGGGCTTTCAACCAGCTGTGCACCCACATTGTACTAATTGCATCTAGACCACATTTCCCTAGTTTGCTTGTGAGAATGTCCTATGGGACTGTGCCAAAAGCCTTATTAACACCAAGATAGATCACATCTACTGTTTACCCACCTCCACTAGACCGTAACCCTGTCAAAGAAGGAAATAGGATTGGTTTGGAATGATTTGTTCTTGACAAATTCATGCTTACTAGTCCTAAGAACCAAATTATCCTGTAGGTACTGACAAACTGATTGTTTAATAATGTGTTCCAGTGTCTTTCCAGGTATCATATATCTATGATATATGCTAGTATGGAAGTGAGGCTGGCTAGTCTGTAAGTCCCAGGGTTCTCTTTGTTCCCCCTTTAAAGATAGGGACTGTCTTGTTAATGGATGGGAAGATGTTCTTTTTTGGGGATCTCGGACGAGAACTGGGGCCCAGCACCTGGTTTGTTAAGGCCACAAAAATGGAGGCAGGAACCTCTCCTCTCCTCCTGGCAAAGAACCCCAGGTACCTAAAAGAGTGGGACTCACATCCCTGAATGGGCCTTAAAAAAGACAATGGTTAAAATTTGGCTCCGACCATTTCTGGTTTCCGCAGACTAGACATTTTAGCAAAATTTAGAATTTCTTGGTGCTCAACACCATGAAACTCCCTTTCTCCTTCACAAAGGGCTTTAACGCCCCTTATCTCACCCAGGCTCATGACTGCCCAGAGTTCGAGAATTGTCCCTGTTCCCATTGGACAGATGGGAAGCCTGAGGTACAAAGAAGGGACGTGACCTACCCAAGGGCCTACACAGCAAGAATCACTGGAGACCTTAGGGTTTGTCCTTTTTGAAAGAGAAGCCAGCAGTCCTGACTCCTGTCCTAAGAGACAACAACCCCCCCCCCCCCCCCCAGAGGCAGGGATAGAGCCCAGGAATCGAGATGGTGGGGAAATTTCATTTAAACCGTTTCTGTCAGAAAATCACATTCAGACTAAACCATTTGTTTCTTGAAATCATAACAAGTGGGATGAAAATTCTCTGCAAAAATATTTTCTTGCAAAACAAAAGCATCTCCTGTTTGTCACCATGTGTTACATTGTCTCTTCGCACACAAAGAGGAGACACTTAGATCTTGAAAATTCGATAATGTGCTTCAGTCTGAGCCAAGTAGTTGCTGCTCTTAACAATTTCAAAATAATCAAATACAAATAAAATAGACTATTTCAGCTATTCTATTGTGTCATAATCTGATCTGAGTAAACCTGATAGGACACCTCATATTATGCACTGCTCCTAGTGACACTCTCCAATGGATCCACATCCTCCACCCACCGGGAGGTAGGTAGGATCGGATTGTTAGCCCTACTTGAAAGAGGGAGAGCTAAGGCTGAGAAAGGAGAATTGACTTGTCTTAGGTCACACAGGCAGTCAGTGGCAGAGTTAGGAATACGACCCATTGGATTTTGAATTTCATACACTGACTGACCTGAATAAAGTGCTCTCAGATGAACTCCAGACCAATCACAGTAATTATTCAGCAAGTATTTTCTGAGAACTGGAATGTTAGAGAGAATCATTAATTGCTCAGAGACAACTAATGCAGAGAAGCAGCAAAATTCGTCAAACATATGACTGGTTATGACTTTTTCACTTGGTCTTAAAAGAGAACAGCAAGGACCTGAGTCTCCTCCCTGTCAATAACCCCCTGCTCAGCCAATCAGGTAGAGATTGAGGGGCGGGAGGCTGAGGGTTCTCACCTGAAAGCCCAAAGGATGGCCCAGGTCACTGGTGGGGATCACTGTCCGAGCACTGTTTCAGCCCCACATTTTTGGGTGGACCTCCCACAATGGGAGCTGCAGAGCACCCCGGCCACACACACACACGCGCACGCACGTACCCCTCCTGGTGGTGGGAGGGGAACAGGGGAAAGGACAAAAGAAGTAAGAGATGAAGAGAAAGGAGGGAGGGATGGAGGAAAAGGTAAAACAAAAAGGAAAAACCCTAATGTCTTCCGTGATTCTAAGGGACAAAATCCCAGGTGGAGAATACAATTCTGCCTCCTTAAGCTAGTGTTTTCCATGCCTAGAATTCAGCTGGCACCAGATGGATCAGACTGAACAGGTTCCAACCCTCTCAGAGGCTCTTACATTCTAAACAGGGACGTCTGTTTTCTAGTAGAATCAGGCAAAGGAAAGGAGAAAACTCGAAAGAGGTTCCTCCTGGCGCTCACGTACCTGAACCCTGATCCTCTGTCAGTCCTCAAAGAGAGACCTCGAGAAGGAGACATGCTGAAGCGAAGCCACGGGGGTCTCCGAGGTTTCCCTGGCCCCGCGCCCCTGTCCTGCCCGGCTGATGTCAGCATCTCTCTGTGAGGTCACCACCTCCCCACCATCTTGGACCAATAGGCTGAGGTCCTGCAAAAGGCTTTTGTGACGTCACACCCACTCCTCCCCTGCAGTGCTAATGTCCTGCCGCTGGCCAGACACTCTGGAGGTTCAAGCTACTCCCTGTGGATCACCCCGCTCAATGAGTGTTCATTCTAGGAAGCAAGCCGGCTAGACAGTAAAACAGCAGACACTGCTCCCCATTCTCCACTCAGTTGTTCAGAAATTAGTAGACTTTCTGGCCAGAAGAGACCATTAGAGCATCTAATCTGACCCGCTGCATATCACAGGCCTTCTGTATACCACAATAGCTACTTTTTGGGCAAACACATTCCAGAAAGGCATCATTAAAAGACATCGAGAGATGGAGAATCCACCACTGGCCTTGGTAGCTAGTTCCTGTGGTGAATCATCCTCGCTGTACCCCCAAGCAGCAGCCCTACTGCCAGGAGCACAGCACCAGGAACTCGGGCAGAGCTCCGGGCTCTGGCTGCTCACAACTGCCCTAGCACCATCCAGGCTGGGTGCTCAGACCCCGCTGCCACTTACTGGAGTTAACTCCGCAGTGAAATGTACCGTGACTTTTAAGACAATCAGGCTTGGGCTTGACACCAAACCAGGCCACTGTCCTCCCTAAAGGGCTGAGGGAGAGGCAGGGGAGCTGCCTCTCCTCCAGCAATCTGGGCGGGGGGGATTTACTGCAAAGTTAGCCACACCCATTCCGGTAGCACCCAGGGCTATGCAGAGCTAGGGATGCAAACCAGAGGGGAGCTGGGAAAAGCAATAACCTGGAGGAAATAAGGAGAGTCAGCACCGTGGATCTCCTAGTGAGGGGGAGATTCCCACCAGCAGGGGGTGATGTGCAGAGACCCAATTCACACCAGAGTAGCAATGCTGGCAAGAGGGTACCCAACCCCCACCCAGCATGATGCCCACAGGTTCGCAGAGTGAGCCAGGGAGGGCGTGCTCCCCCAGCTCTGAAGGGTCAGAGAAGCGACAGCGGAGCACGGCGGAGGGAGAGAAAGAACAAATAGATCTGGAGCCGTGTCCGTCCTCCCAACAACCCTTCTAGTTCAGCACCTTAGATAACAGCGTGCATAGCAAGGACAGAGGTCGTGTGAACTTCCATGGAGCAGCTTTGAGGGGCTGGATGTGTTGTCCCTTCCCATGGCTTGCAGGGGAGGCAGGGGCAGGTTGAAGCCAGCTGGCTTGTTGCTGCAGAGTTCTCCCTTCGTTAACGCTACCCTGGGTTCTTTAAGCTTATGCAAGTTCAGAACCGCTCGGAGTGGCCCAGCTCTGTGGGCAGGCAGCGCTGTGTGGCTCAGATCACTAAGGGACCATGACAAATACATGAATACTCAGTATTAAGGTTACAAAACCCATCCCGGCACCTTGATTTAATGCCTCCAGCTTTGCTGGAGGCCTATGTAGGTCCAACAAACTCCCACAGGTCCATCCTAGCAGGTGCAAGGTGTCTTCTAAAACCGTGGATTCTTGGGCGCCACCTCCTCTTCACTGGCTCCAGAGTCCTGGGCAGGAGCCCCAAGGGCATCATCAGAACATTGCAAGCATCTCAATTACAGCTCTGAATGGAAAAGGGCTGAGCCAGGACAGCCAGCTGCTCACTTCAATGACCGCAGAGCGACCATCCTGGTCGGGGCATCCATTATTACTGTTAATGCCTTCTTGGAGTTCAAGTAGCACTGCAAGCCCCAACTGAGATCAGGGACCCATTGTGCTAGGTGCTGCACAAACACAGCACGAGAGGGTGTCCCTGCCCTAAAGAACTCCCAGGTTAGACAGAGGGGAAGTGACTTGCTCAAAGTCACACAACAAATCAGTAGCAGAGCTAGGAATTGTGTCCAGTGCATTATCCCCTGAACCACACTTTCTCCTAGAATGCAATGAGCACAACTAAAGCTATTGCTCAGGACATGAGCAGCAACCCAAAGCAAGGATGCAGGTAAAGACGAAGGGTCGGTCTACACTGGGAACTTACATTGGCGATTCACACCCCTGAGAGATGTCGCTATGCCACCCACCGTGTAGACAGCACTGGATCGATGGAAGAATTCCTCCATCAACCTAGCTACTGCCTCTCAGGGAGGTGGATTTACTACAGTAACGGGAGACCAACTCCCAATGACGCAGGTCGTGTCTACACTGATGCACTACGGTGGCACAGCTGTCCTGCCGTAGCCCTTTAAGTGTAGCCATACCTCGTGGTTCACTGGCAACGCCGGACGGGGCCTCAGGAATGGAACTCAGGGTGCTGCAGCCCAGGAACCAGAGGCATCGGTTGAGCTAGGTGAGAGGCCTTTGCACAACCCCTGCTTCAGGCTGTAGCAGTCTCCCCGCTTTGAGAGCGTTCCAGGTTGCCAGCTTTCTGCTCAAGACTTCTAGGGCAGCAGCAGGCCAGTGGCACAGTGCAGGCCCAGCCCCGTGCTCTCTGGCGTGCAGGGCTGTCCCCTCCACAAGGAGCAGCCCCGTAGAACGAGTGTGGGGCTGAGCTGCCTGCGGCTCTTAGCACAGAGGCGGTATTGACAGGGGACAATGATTCTCTCTTTTGCTTAAGAGACCTTGGAGATGTCGCATCTGAGGACAGGCACGAACCAGCTGAGAACTGAGAGCAATTATTACCCACTTAGCAGGGTCAGGGCTTTTGATGCTGCTGCTGATGCCATCGCTAACAGAATTAACCAGACGGGGATGCTTTAGAAGTGCGGCTGTTTGGAGCACTTCATTTCCAAGCTATCTAGGGCAGCACTTCTCAAGCTATCTGATGTGGGGGACGGGCAACTTTCTTTTCCAGTGTGCGCGCAGACCGGCAGCCGACGGCTCACGGACCGGCACTGGTCCGCGCACCACCACTTTGAGTAGCACTGATCTAGGGGCCATGAACCCAGACACACAGGCCTCCGGTCAGACCTGGTGAAGGAGGATGCAGCTCCATGGGCTTCGATGGAGTGCCAGCTTTATTCCTTTGTCCATAGAACCCATACGGCAAAGGCGAACCTGTTGGGGCATATTGGGACAAGGTCGCTGTGTAAAATAATTGATGACACTGACTTGGCCCTGGATTTGTATTATCCCCAGTCATGCCCCAGGGTCCCATTGTGCTAGGTGCTGTACAGACAGAGCAGAGCACTTCACCATCTTTGCTGTATTTATCCTCACAACATAGCTGTGACGTGTCCCTTTTACACATGGGAAACAGACCGATTAAGTGACTTGCCCAAAGTCACGCAGAAAGTCTGTAGCACAGCAGACAAGGGAACCCTGATCTCTTGAACTCCAAGCAAGTCCTGGGGCCAGCCTGGCTTTCTAGTTCTCTGCTAGGATACATGAACAACCTGCCCCTCCCCCCCCCCCCCCCCAAATAACCTTCATGGCTGGTTGCAGATTTGTTGTGTGAGGTAAGAATAGCCTAGTGGTTACAGCACAGAACTGGGAGGCAGGAGAGATGGATTTTATTCCCAGCTCTGCCACTGACTCATTGTGGGACCTTTGTCAAGACACCTCTGTGCCTCAGTTTCTCCATTTAAAATGCAGGTAATACTTCACCTCACAGTGGGACTGGGCTCTATCCTTTAATACAGGATAGGATGAGCTCCTAGGGCTATGTGCCACTTCAAAGGCATAGGATCAGTTCATTCGAAGTGTTTGCAATTAAGGCCTAAGGGACAGGCTGGCTCTGGGGGGAGGGGGGATGTTAAGAGCCTTTTTATTTCTAGGCCAACTGTTCATTTTAGAGCAGTTTCATAGCAGCGGCCAAACTGGTCTCCTGTTGGCTCTGCACTGACCTGGCCGAAAGGCCTGTGTACCTCCAGCTCATCCCTCTTGGGCCCCATCACCAAAGGCACCAACTCTGAGTCCAGCAGAGGCCAAGGACACAGTGGGCATGGGAGCTGCCCTGTCCTTTCGCTCCTAGCGCTGAAGCAGCCGGATGGGGCTGGGCAGAAGTGAACCAGTAGCTGTTCTGTGGGTCTGGCCTGTACATTTCATCCCCCTGGGCCAGTCCTGTAAGTGATGAGGAATGAATGCCCGGGTTCAGCAGTGAGTCAGTGGGCCAGAAACTCACCTGGCACTGATTATGTTGTAACAAATTCCAGGTGCGCTCGCCAAGCGGGCCCAGCTCAATGAGTCACAACAGGGCTCCCCAGCCACGCGGGAGTTCCCGGTGGGATCTTTCCTCCTCTCTGCAGCCGATCTCGGAACAAGTGGCAGGGCGTGGGAAGCGTACTGAGATTAGCTGGTGAGTTCCTGCCTTCACCGCTCTCGGGGCCAAAGGCAGAAAATTCTCAGGAGCGGGTGGTGGAGTCCACTTCTCCCACCCCTGGGATGTGAGACCGAGTCCGCTGCTGAGCCCAGTGCACTGTAAGGGGCATCGGTGTACTGCAGCTGTGGCTGGGCACGGGGACGAGTGTAGGGCAGCTGCAGAGATTGTATGGGGCACAGGGGATCCTCAGTAATAGGAGGGTCCAAGTGGGGAGGTGACTGAGGTGCTGGTGTAAATGACAATTAACAGGAGGAAGGGTCGCTTCCATGCCTGCTCTTTACTGTTCCTGCTTCCCTTCCCTTCCCCTCCCTCGCCTTGCCCAAAAACTCCAGCCCGAAGTGCTGCTGACCATAGCCCAGCTACTGAGTTGGAAGCTTCCCCTTCACCCCCTGCTGCAGTCAGACCCTGATCCACAGCTGCGGGTCTTAACAAGACTAGGGGCTTGTCTACACGTGAAACGCCACAGCAGCCCCGCGGTAGCCACTGCCTACGCGGACGGGACGGGTTCTCCCATTGGCACAGGTAAGCCACCTCCCCGCGAGGCAGTCCTTAGCTCAGTGGAAGAATTCTTACATCGACCTAGCGCTGTCTATGCCAGGCAAGGCCATCCCAAAAGTGGGCCACATCCAAACCCCCTCCCCCCTCCATTCATATAGTAGAAATGTGCGGCCCGTGACAACTTACCAACATCTGTGGAGTGGCCCCCTGTGAAAATTATTGCCCACCCCTGGTGTCACCAGTGTTACCCCATCAGCCAGGAAGCCCGGCAGGATGGCACAAACTGCAACCCCTGCACCCCTGGCTGCACCTCAGCAGCCCCAGGCCAACCCATACACCCCTTAGTTCCTGCAGCTCTAGAGGCAAGAAAGCCTATTACCAGTCCTGGTTCCACCGGCTCCCCTCCATTCCTCCCGCAGCAACAAAGGTCCAATTGCCAACCTCAGCCTGCGTCAGGCAGCTTTGATGGTACAGAACACGCACCCAAGCCAAAAGCCGCACCCTGCCTAGTATCCAGCACTAGCTCCCTGGTGCAGGGCTCCCTCTTCTGGCAGCAGCTGGGGGCGTTTGCAGGAAGGGTCGCTGTCCCCCAACGCAGTAGCTGCACCTGATAGGTGGGGCTAGCTCACCAAGGTGCCTGCATCCACAGCTGTCACCACCCGTCAATCGCGGAGAACACAGACCCCCGGTGTTATTTTTGCTTTTTATTTGAAAAAAAGCCTGTGGACTATCACAAGTGTGGTTAGACAATACAAAAACTCACCAAGGAGCTCAGCTACTGCTGCAGCTGCCTACAGAGGCCAAGCTGTAAACATTCACAAGAGGGATTTCATAATGCCCATAGCAGCAGGGGGAGGTAGGGCAGGCTAGGGGACCGGAGCAGGGGAGCCCTCTTTAACCCCTCCTAGGAACAGAAACAAGCACCCCCAGGCAGCAGGGCCAGGAGCACACATCTCATGGGAGGGGATGGAGGGAAACAGCCCCAAACAAAAGGTCCAAGGGGTAACCTGTTGTGTGAACAGACACACACCAGGCTCCATGCACTTAAGCACAGAACTGGAAGGTGATCTCATAGCCTGAAACCCCTGGCTTTATTAAGTTCGCCCTGTGACAGCTCCAGGAACCAGAGGACCAAGAATGGCGAGTTCAGCTAGGCTCCGCAGAGCAGAGGGCGTGAAGCCTAGAGAACGGGCAGGAGAGCAAAACCAGGCCCAGAGATCTCACTCCTGCTAGATCAACAGATCTGACTCTCAGCAGCTGGGCCTCCTGCCAGTGCAGCTCTCCCCAGAATCTAAGGGGAACTTGCCTTAGAGGGGGCAGAGCAATTTTTTTGGTGCCTGGCAAGAGACCCCCTGTTCTGATACGTGCAGGCCAGGTGATATCATTACAGCAACACCCTGCCTGCCAATCAGCACTGGGGCCCCATTGCGCCAGGTGCTGCACACAATTCTGGGCTGAAGGTCACCTCCTTTCCCACCATTGTTCACAGTCTATTTAGGAGTTGGGTTTATGGCCTTCAGTCAGCCAGGCAGATCAGAGGAAGGTTTGTCAAACTGCTGTCTCAGAGCAATGCTGGGGGGGGGGGGGGGGATGGGAGGGGACAGGAAGGTCCATTCCAGTTTGCACAGGCACCTAGGCTGAGATTTGGGGTGGGTGGAGGAAGCAGGTGGCTGGCAGCTTCGTTAAGGCCTGAGCCAGAGAGAACCATGTCCTGGCACAGCCCTATGGCTGGTGAGGAGTCACAGGAGACAAAGGGGGCAGCTACAAGAGGCTTTTCTTGAGGCCACTTTTCTGCCCCATTTGAAGGTGGCAGGGTGGAGGATGAATGACGGGAGAATGGAAAGGGGGCAGCATTAAGGGGAGAGGGAAACAATAGCTAAACTCATGGGGGTCAGCGATGTCCTTCAGTGTCACAGATGCTGCTAGAACGATATGATCCCAGGGCCCTGCCTGGTTGAGGCACCATCCTGGACAGTTCTGCGCTGATGAGTGTGAAGAGAAACATGAGGGGAAATACCCTGAGCAGCACCGGCCCCTCCTGGCTCATGCTTCCAGAAAACCCATCCACCCCTGTAAACAGGTCATGCCCTGGGAAGGTGATTGCAGCATTCAGCCCAGCAAAGCAGCAATTTCTTCACCCCTCAGAAGGCAGGCAGAAGTGGGGAGGGAAGGGAACAGCCCATCTGCATCCTACCCTCCGGCTGTGTTTATTCGGTAAGGAATCTTAGTCCCGAAACCTCTCTGGTTCAGGGGGATGGAGTGGGCTGGCTCCAGGAGCCTGCTAGCTGCTCCCTTGTGCATTTCAAACAAACCAACCAACCAAAAGTTTTTACCCCTGGTGGGTCACCAGGAAAATCTTTCCTATGTTAACTGAGTGTAACTGATGCAGGGATGTGTGCCTGAGTCTGCAGGCAGCCTGGAACAGTAGCTCAGAGCTGGGAACTGCCCTATTCATCTCACTGAGGTGTTAACCCCAAAACTTAATTATGTCAGTTGAAGTGTAAACATTGACTATTTCATCACTACTCCAGACACGAGAGAGGGGCTATCATGCCACGACGATCTGCACCAGCTACTGCAAATAGGGTTTTGGTGTCATGAGTGGGTGGAGCTTGGGACAGTACCATGGACATTCAAGCTAGCCTGGTGCTGGAGTGAGGGGTTAGGCACGTGAGGAACCAGCCTCTGAGTGGTCACTGTGCCCCTTAGATGCCAACAGGAGTGTTAAGCAGCAATACACAGTCCTCCTCGGAAAGCAGCCGGCATTCAGCCGTGTCACGCAAGGGGCTGAGGCCGTAGCTGCCCTCCCGAGTACTGTACAGCTGCAGAAACAGCACCTGGAAGGAGGAGAAAACCTTTGGAGTACGGTGCTTCCCTCACCACAAGCGAAATGGATCAGGAAGACTTGCATGGTGCCCCGCTCAGTTTCCAAGGCAGAAGGGCAACAGCATACCCGAGAGGGCAATGCCATCCAGTCACAGCCCAGTGCACAGATGTGGGAAGGTGCCAGAGCTCTGCAAGGGAGGCCTGGGACAGGCTCTGGTATCAGACAGGGATCAATTCAGGTGCTTTGCTAGCACCTCCGGACCTACCACAAACGAGGCGCAGCATCGCCAAGGAGCAAGGGAACCAACGAGACTTGGGCAGGAGTCACGGCCCCATAGAAACCCACAATACGCCTAGGCCCCATGGAGGCTCAGACCTGGCGACTGAGGTAGGCTGGCTGGGGCTGCTTTTGCAGCGGTGTCCCTGCCCAGGCCCTCCCCAGAGCCCTGGCCTGGGGTGTGGGAGGTCAACAGGGGGGCTAGATGAAGGTGGAGTCCAGCTGGCTTGTTTCATGGTTATTTCGGGCCCGTGCCTCAAACAGCTGCTTGATCAGGGCGGATTTCTCCTGCTCCAGCTGGGTGATCCGCTCGCTCTTCTCGGTCACCTCCTGCACAGGAAGGAGGCAGTGCCCTGGTGAGAGTGGGGAGCGTTCCCCGTGGGCAGCCAGCCCTTCCCAGGGTCCTGCCCCTCCCCAGACACCCTGGCTGACCAGTTGGATCTCCTCAACTCAAGGTAGTTTCATTTGGCCAGCACAAACCCCAGGCGGTTTAGAGCGCCAGGCCCAAAGCTCTCACTGCAGTCCCTGGTCACCAGTCCCCGCTTTGCCAGTCTACAAGGCAGGTCACGCGACGGGTACACCTGCCCCCACCCTCCCGGCCCATTTCACAGAGGCCAGAGCTGTCAGCTGGCACCAGGTGTCCACCACCACCAGCCTCAGTGAGATGGCCTCCACCTGAAGTCTCAGTTCCCTGAGCTGTCCAGGCCCCTTGTGCCTTGTGGTGAGATGGCAGAACCAGAAGACGACACCACTCAGCAGCCTCATTTAATTGGGGGGCTCCGAGTATCTTCGCTGTGCAGGGTTCCCCTCTCATCTATGCCCTTCTCTGAGGCCTGGATCCCACTCCCGCAGCCTTCCTCTCTCCCCCAGCTAACCTCCTCCCTGAAGGGCCCGTCCCTTTGGCTCCCAGCCTGACACGGGGGCTGGCTCCCGGTTCCCCTGCCCTTCCTTTGGCCCCAGTTCCAAGCTCCTGACCCCCTCCCAGTGGGGGGGAGCTCCCCCACCCCCTCACCTTGGTGAGAAGCCGGTTTTGTTCCTTCAGCACACTGATGGCTTGCTGGGGCCCTGCCAGGGCAGGAGGCGGCGTGGGGGCAGCAGGGACCTGCCTGGTCAGTGCCGACGAGGAGGAGTTCAGAGGCTGGGAAGGAGAGGGAGTTAATCTTTCTGCAGTCTGTCCCCACTAGCTTTCTGCTTCCCCCCCTCGGGCCAGGGCTGGGCTCTCCATGCAGATCACCCATCACAGCCCTCCTGGCAGCTGATGCCTCGCTGACCCGTCTCCACTAGATGCAGGTCGGCCTGGCGTGTCAATACACAGCTCAGCCTGCAGAGGGCACTGCGACCTCATTGCTTAACCCACAGCAAGCTGCACGGGGCGGGGGCGCGGGAGCATGGTGCCAATGGACTCAGTTCACCAGCCGGGGCAGCCAGGGAGCTCATCCCTCAGCACCTGCCCTCTGCACCAGGGTTTCGTTGAGCTGTGCAGACCTCCATGTCCTTGCCCTCACCCCAGAATCAGGGGGCTACTCGCCTGAGAGCAGTGGAGAGCCACATTTGGCAGCAAAGAGGGAGGAGAGGAAAAGAAACTGGCCGTGACATGACAGGTGCAGCGGCTGGGTTACATCCCAGGGGTGCAGGGCTTCCCATTCCCGAGGCGTCTGCAGCCCCGCCCCACAGCAAGGATCTCGTTGGGTCCCTTTGCAATCTGGGTCTGTCCTCCCACAGCATAGAGACTTTGTTTTAAAGTCTCTAGAGCAGAGCTGGGCAAGCTTTGTGGCCCGAGGGCTACATCTGGGTGGGGAAAATGTATGCAGGGCCATGAATGGAGGGCTGGGGCAGAGGATTGGGGTGCAGGAGGGGTGGGCGGAGTGCAGGAAGGGGCTCAGGGCAGGGGGTTGGGGGCAGGAGGGGTTTGGGGTGTGGGCTCCAGCCCAGTGCTGCTTACCTCGAGTGGTACCGGGGCGGCAGCACTGCACAGCAGGGCTAAGGCAGGCTCCCTGCCTGCCCTGGCCCCACGCCACTCCTGGAAGTGGCCGGCATGTCTGGCAGTGGCTCCTGGAGGTGGGGCGGGGCAGGCGGCTCCACCGTGCGCGGCCCTCACCTGCGGGTACCACCTCCGAAGCTCCCGTTGGCCGCGGTTCCCCGTTCCCAGGCAATGGGAGCTGCGGGGGGCGGTGCCTGCAGGCGAGGGCGACGCATGGAACCCTCCCGACCCCGGGCCACAGGGATGTGGCGCCAACCGCTTGCAGGAGCCGCGCAGGGTCAGGGCAGGCAGGGAGCTGCCTTAGCCCCCGCTGCACCACGGGGCTGGCAATTCCGCGGGCCCGACTGAAAGCCCGGACAGGCCGGATCTGGCCCGCAGGCCGTAGTTTGCCCTCCCCTGCTCTAGAGCCCTGCCATGGGCTAGAACGTGCCCGAGAGTCACTGCTCATTACCTGGGACCAGAGGAATTACCCAACTGTATCAGGCGGGGGGTCCATCTAGCCCAGTGGCCTTTCTCTGACAGCAGCCAGATCCAGCGGAAGGGGCTGGAGCCCTGAAGGAGGCAGGGTTATAGCTCTGGATGTTCTAATTATCCACGTACCAGCTAACCCCTTTCTGAATCCTGCTGAAGTGCTTCACCTCTGTGACCACCTACAAGCGTCCCATAGACCAGGTGGGCTCTAAACCCTTGCTAGATTAGGTCCAAGAGTCTCCAGACACCTGCTCTGGTCTCTCAGCTGAGGGCCCAGGCATCCCTACAGGGCCATATTAATTCTGTTTCTGGTCTGGTGACCCCCTTTATACACTGCTCCCGTTGATCAAATGGAGAACGATAAGAGCGGCCAGCCCTGGGAGTAGGAGCACCGGTGCTACCAGTATGGCGCTCTCACCTTCCCCGAGGTGGATAGGAGCTCTCTGAGACAGCGGTTCACTTCCTGCAGCTTGGGTAGAAGGTGACCCAGGTGGCTCTGGTTCCCCTCTGAGAAGAAGTCCTGGAAGACGCAAGGGTGGGAAGGTGGAATGAGGAGCCAGTTCTCCAGGACTTCATGCTGCTGTGATGTGCAAGCAGAGATGACCCGAGAGCTCTCTGGCCTTCATCGTAACTCCACAGGACTCATCTTTCAGGAACCAGCCTGGCTGGCAAACTGGGTGGGTGGAAGGGAATATTCCAGCCAATGCTGACTTTAGGCTGGGGTGGGATGTGCATTTCTCCAGATAGCCCAGGAGGGTGCATGCCAAGGGGGCTGCTGGGGCTCTCATCTCTATTTACAAAACCATCCTGGTCCGGCCACATCTCTGCTCCTGCTCTGGAATGCTGCCTCGGGCAACGACCAATGCCACATGCGTCAGAGGGTGACAGGATAAACACATGGCCTAGCCAGCTGGGCAAGGAGGCATAGGTATGTGTGTGCACACAGGGAGCGAGGAATCCTTCCTGAATGCCACAGAGGTGATCCCCTTCATTATCTCCCACCTGCAGAGCTATCGGGGTGATTAATGATCATTAAGGCCCAGATCCTCAGAGGTATTTAGGCTCCTAACTCCCACTGAAATGAATAAAGTTAGGCACCTAAATCCCTTTGCAGATCTGGGCCTAAGAGCTTTGGACCCTTCTCCAAAAAGAAAACAATCCACTGAGCATTCGACTGCCTTTTTGGCTACAGTTTTGCCTGGGTGGAAGCAGGAGTGATGCCGCTGAGGCCAGAGGAGTGACTCCTGCTGGCACAAGAGCTGAGTTGAGCTTGCGATTAAGTCCCACAGGTTAGCTCCTTGCTGGGCAAAGCAGGGTTCCCTGTAACAGGCCGGGCAGATTCTCGGCTCATTTGTGGGACAAGGTAAGAAAGAGGAGGAGGACGAGAAGTGACCTGTCGTATGCCTCTTCCCCTTCGCAGGCTGAGTGATCCCAGCTGCCCTGACCCCTCCAAATGTGCAATTCCCACATGTACCCACTCTCCACTGACTTCAGTGGGAGCGAGTATCATTGCCAAGTGCTTCGGCAGATCTCACCCCGTGTCTCCATTAGATCGTTAAGGGGAAGTGATACTAGAACTTGGGGTCTTTCCAATCTCCGGATTTAACCAGTTCTTTATCCAGCGCCCCCCAGGCAGAGCACTCGAAGGCGAGACGGTCCCTGGAGCGAACCCCACACTCACATTTGTGGTTTTGTTTTTCCCCAGGTGTTTCTGGCGCTCCTGCACTGTCTGGATCTGCTGGTGGTACCATTCCCAGGCCCGCTCCACCATCTCCAGCCCCTGGAGCAAGAAGTCCTTCTCCTGCTCCAGCTCCTTCATTTGCTTCAGCTGCAAGACACAAAACCCAGGTACTTTAATATCCCCTCCATCCAAACCTAGGGGAGGTCAATCACGCCTCCTGCCATCCTGGGAATGGGTCCTGAACCCAGGGCTGGGGGTCCCCAGACAGCTGCCACATCCTGGCCTCTACCCAATGGCTACTGAAACCACATGGACTGAGAAGCTACTAGGGCGATAGCCCCAGCCAGGGCACCACCTACGGGAGCTCTGACAGGAGCATCACATGGCTCCACCAATTGGTCCAACTACACTATTTGGGTCCAGTTCATGATCACATCAAGCACAGAGGAGAAGCTCTGCCTCTAGCCATGGCACATGCAGGAATTCAGTTACCAGCTGCAGACCCCTGCAAGGACAAGACAGGTGAAAGGTGGCTCATCCCCTTTCCCCGGTGGCAGCTTCAGAGAAGCGGGAGCAAAGAGTTTGGTTTCCTTTAGGGAAAGAGCTGCCAGATTTGGGCATCCTGACATCAGCTGATAAGTGAAGGGATGGAAAGCTTGTCTCTGCCCCCTCCCCCCTTCTCATGGAGCCTGGCATCCCATCAGCCTGCACATTCAGCTATAACCAGCCTTCAAGAGGATGTGGACCTAGAATAGACATGGAGAACTGTAGCATGGGGCTTCTTTACACTGGAATATGAAGCCTGGCTACAATAGGAAGCTCTGGGGTGGGGATCACTCATGGGAGCCTCCTTTCTCAGCAAGTCTAGGTGTCCCTTTACTGCTGCACCATACTTGCAACCAAGAGACTAGCTAGATCAGAGTTATATGGACATGTTTGTCTGGTCAGATCCACAAAAAGCCCCTTTACCCAGCTTATAGAATTGTAGGACAGGAGGGGACCTCGAGAGGTCATCTCGTCCAGACCCCTGCACTCATGGCAGGACTAAGTATTATCTTCCATGTAATATCTTTCAGTATTATGTTTCAATGTCCTTTGAGTTTGGCCTAACGGGAGATGGGGACCATGACACACCAGTCTGATCCATCATGCAGCTGCTGCAAATCGAGAGGAAGAGCGACAACCAGAGAGCAGATTCATACCCAGATCACTACTACTCAGAAGGTTCTTGCTCCATGGGAAGCGGGTTTCTCGGCTAGGTTGAACCAAATGCAGGTCATGAGAGAGTCTCCCCTCTGAACACCCTTCCTTCCTTCTTCCCCCAGGCTGTAGCGTCCACCCTGCCCCACATTAGATCAGTCCTGTTGCTCAATTAGAAATAGTGGCTTAATAGTGTCTGGGTCAAAAGGAAACCTTTGCATGGAGATCTCATCTCAATAGCCCATGCATCCATGGCAGGATATTTCCTCCTCTGAGCTGCAATTAAGCATTTCCCTTATCACTCTACAGGAACCTGAAGTTTAGTCTCCAGTGCATGATGCTGGATCTCAGATACTCCGGTGCTCTACACGGCAGTGTTCAGAGATATTTAAGGGAGTTAGGTGCCAGATTCCACAGGCTCCTTTGAAAATCCCTGGTCATTTAAGCCAACATCTTCTAGCTTTGGTGCCTAAAGCAGCCACCTTACAGAAGTTTAAGGCTGCAAACTCACACTGTGTGGAACATTTTTCATGTGAGAAAGAATCAGGGACCCAGCGAGAGCCAATGGCCCAGAAACCAAGTGGGCGCAGTTCCCATGGACAGCAAGCAAGAAGGTGTAGCTGTCTCTGCCCCCCCTTTGTTTGCATAGCAGACACACGACATCATGGGGGTGTGGTTCCTCTCTCTCTCCAGCCAGCACGGCTGTAGCTGCCACCAGGTAGAGAAGATGGCTCTCCAGACAAGTTGGGGTATTTCCCCCCTCCCCCAAGGCTGCTGCACTATGATTAGGAGGGGAACCCCCCCCCCATAATCCCAGAGGTGACTCACATTAATTTTACCCCTTCTTTAAAAGAGGGACAGACTGGCAGGTTTTCAGCCACCCCAGTGCTACGCTCCAGAGGGGCTGCAACCCAACCCAGAGGCAGCCAGCCAGCTGTGGGGACAAGAGCGAGAACACCCCACTCTGACCCGAGGCACCACTGCCCGCTGGAAGAGCCCCAGCACAAAGGCTGCTGGGGAACCCACTCGTCATGGCAGCAATGCAACAAGCGACCAAGCAACGAACTCCCACTATGAATAGTGCAGGTCCCCACAGGGAGTTCTCAGCCAGCTGGTCACCCTCGGAGAGCCCAAGCTCCCATTTTGCAGGCAGCATTGCAGAGACCCTGCTGTGGGGTCTCAGATTTCAGAACAGACGTGGCACCAGCCTCGTGGATTAGCCTCACGGGCACTAGCTGTGTATGGGGTATTTGTTTCCCAACGTCTGGAAGAGAGGGATGCTCTTCCTGAACCCAGAGAAAGGGGTGTGGATACAAAGCCTGCCCACTCAGGAATGGGCTTAGTTGGGGCGGGTGGGGGAGTGGGCAGGAGAGGCATTGCCCCCCAAACTGCAAGCCTCAGGTAGGCGTGGAATTCCCCCCCATGCAGTCCCATTGGCCTGGCTAAAGCTGCCCCACCACATACAGAAGTCAAACTATGACCTCAGGACACCAGTAGACGTAATCAACAATATGCTAATGGCATATTGGGCTGCATTAGTAGGAGCATTGCCAGCAGATCGAGGGATGTGATTATTCCCCTCTATTCTGCACTGGTGAGGCCTCATCTGGAGTACTGTGTCCAGTTTTGGGCCCCCCACTACAGAACAGATGTGGACAAATTGGAGAGAGTCCAGCGGAGGGCAACCAAAATGATTAGGGGGCTGGGGCACATGACTTACGAGGAGAGGCTGAGGAAACAGGGCTTATTTAGACTGCAGAAGAGTGAGGGGGGATTTGATAGCAGCCTTCAACTACCTGAAGGGGGGTTCCAAAGGGGATGAAGCAGATGGTGGCAGATGACAGAACAAGGAGCAGTGGTCTCAAGTTGCAGTGGGGGAGGTCTAGGTTGGATATTAGGAAACACTATTTCACTAGGAGGGTGGTGAAGCACTGGAATGGGTTACCTAGGGAGGTGATGGAATCTCCTTCCTTTGAGGTTTTTAAGGCCTGGCTTGACAAAGCCCTGGCTGGGATGATTTAGTTGGTTTTGGTCCTGCTTTGAGCAGGGGGTGGGACTAGATGACCTCCTGAAGTCTCTTCCAACCCATATCTTCTAGGATTCTAGGAATAAAGCTCAGAACTATGCATCTCCCTGTCAAATCAAGTTTTGGCGCTTTCATTTCTGGAGCACCTACCAACTGGAGACAATGCAAGGCTTCAGCAGTGTGGGCTAGAGACCTAGGTGCTAACCTGGAATCTGATTTGTGACCCTGGGAAACACTTCACCTCCCTGTGCCTGCTTCCCCATCTGTAAAATGGGGATAATGATACTTATCTCCCTGTCTAAAGAGCTTTGAGATTCACTGATGAAAAGTACTACCATTATTATCACCTATTTAGATGGTAAGGTCTTTGGGAAAATGATGGTCTCTTACTATACATTTGTACAGCACCTAACACAATGGGGTCCTGAGCCAAGTGGGGGCCTATAAGCGTTCTCCTAACACAAATAAGTAAAAAGCACTTTGAGATGTTTGGAAGAAAGCGTCTATAGCTGTATATAGCAGCCATAGTACAAACAAGGGACTCAAGCAACTGCATGTTTAAAACCATCGCAGGAAGTGCTTGAGTGCACACCTATGCAGCAACAGCAAGAACTTTATTAAAAAGCCATTACAGAAAAATCCTTTTCAAAAGGCCACATCATGATGAAGCTAAATACCCAAAATCCCTGCTCCTCCAGGCTGCACCCCACCCGCAGACAGAGCCCAGAGCCCACACCCTTCCGGGCTTCGCTTTTTCAAACACAAGATGTGGTTGCAATTCAAACATTGACCCGCCAGGCCTGTGAACCGAGCACAGCAGAGCAGGAGATGACTGCGAGCATCCGGGATTTCAATATTACTGAGGGGAGAAGGCAAGTTTAGACACCACTTGAGTGCTGCTCACGCATCTCATACTCTGGGTATATAGCGGGCTCACATAAGAGGGACTCAGCTCATAATCCCAGAGGCCATTCGCATGCACTTCACTTCTTTAAAAGAGGGACAGACTGGAGGTTTATCAGCCTTCCCAATGCTTCATGCAGCCTGCCAGGCGCCCGCAGCAATCCCTTGCTATCCATGCTAGTCACAACCTGAGCAGACAGGCCAGCGGACTGCCAGGGACATACCCAGAGGAAGAACTGCAAAGCCTTGGAGCTGCACAGGCTGCTGCTCAGAGGAACGAAGAGGGTGCTGTACGTCGCGAGGACGCCCATCCAGCTGTGTCCGCAGCCTGGCGCCAAACGCCCTGCCCTGAACCTGGCCGTGCCAGTTACCGCGGTGACTGGAGGAAAGGACAACATCCCACTCGCCGGTGGGACAATGGCATCTCTGCTCCGCGAGCGGATGGAAGGCATCTAGTCAGCTGGCAAGGGAGGCGGGTGGGTTACGGATGTTGGCGGAGGCAGCTTCCAGGATGGGAGGAAGAAGCAGGGGTTCCTTCCACTCGAGTGGGGATGGCCTGGACAGGGGGGGGCACGTCAGCCCGGGATGCTCATGGATGAACGAGCTTAACCTCTCGTAAAAAGCCTCGCCCAAGCTGCAGAGAAGCCACCGGGGAATAGGCCGATCGATGGACTCAGTGAAAGACAAGCCAGCCGGATACACGCTGTCCTGGGGCCAGTGCACAGCCACTCCCAGCGCACACGGGCGAGAGGGGTCAGCCCCACGCTCCGCTCCCACTGCTGGGGCACAAGAGGGCTGTAGCAAGGTGCTAGGGATTCAGAGAGGGCTCTGGTGTCCAGCACCTTTTACCCAACGAATCTGTATTCTGGGAAGGGACGGATTTGTTTTTAGGCTGATCAGGAATAACCACCCTCTGCCCAAGGCTCCCAAAGCACTTTACAGCCTTGAGAGAGAGGAGAGGAAGGCTTGTCCAGTGGTTAGAGCACTTGTCTGGTCCATGGGAGATCAGCATTCAATCCTGCTCTACCACAAGCATGCTGCGTGACGCTGGGTAAGCTACTTAGTTTGTCTGGCTCAGTTCCCCACCTGTCAAATGGGCATAATAGCCCTGCCCTGCCTCCGAGGATTGAGAAAGTAAAGCCTGTGAGGAGCTCAGACTTTATGGCGCTGGCGGCCAGAGAAGTACCCCAGACAGACAGAACACCCCAGTGGTCAGTCAGTGCCATTACCACCATGCTCCAGCTGGGGAAAGTGAGGCCCAGACCAGGGAAGGGACTCGCCCACGACCCGACAGATGGGAATCGACCCTGATCTGCTGAGTCCCAGGCCACAAGGCCAGCGTACCTCGCTTCTCCAGCTGCACCTATTAGCAAATGTTAACATGGAGCATTGAAGTCAGTGATCGCAATCCACAGTGCTGAACCCTGCATCAGAGAGCTGGGAGTATGGGAGTTCCCCTTAGCCGACTCCTATCCAAGTAAAGGCCCCTCTCCATCCCAGAGTGTCCAGTCTGGCTGAATGGAGGTAGAAAGCATAGCATTCCTCAGTCTCCTATCATTCCCCTGCAAGCGCTTCACAGCCCACGCCCTGCTCCAGCTCCCACAGTGAGCAAAAGGGATTAATTCTCAGCACTGCTGCAGCTTGCTTTAGCAAATGAGCTCCTAATTCGTGTGTGCAAAGCCCCCATTAACCCCTGGGGCGGGCCAGGCCAGGAATCAGAGCGTGTTATGTGGCCGACAGCCGCTGCGCCGACATAATCAATTCTGCACAAAGGCAGCCCACATGCCCCGTCAGCTCCGTTCAAATTGGGGGGCGGGGGGAATAGATACTGACATTTGAGAAGGGAAAGAACCAATGCAGCAGGGTGGCACTCTTAGGATAAAATAATGTAAATTACATTGCACACAAGGTACAGAAAAGGCAGGAGCTTCCATTAACGTTACTAATTCAAACTGCCCATAGGCAGGATTTGGGATCATGAGCAGCATGGGTGAGCTGATAATATCATGAGTACTTTGCTCTCTATCTACGCAAGGTACTTCTATTGTGCACCATGGTTCTCCAGGGGCCATTGCGCACCCTGCTATGGGGCCATAGAGAGGGAACAGGCTCCCTGGCCTTGGTGCAACTCCAACTTACCACTGACAAAAGGTCTCTTGTGGGGCGGGGCGAGGGGGGGGAATTATGCCAGCTGAGGATCAGGCATAATGGACCTCTGCTCCACTGTGCTCCAACCCTTCCCCACCATGCCAGTGGTGGCTGGGACAGGAGAAGGTAGAGAGTCCTCTGCAGAGGAGAAATTCTCCACCAGCCATCTACAGCAGTTTTAGTGCAAAGGAGACTTAATAGATTACATGATCCAGCCCCAGGAGTTTAAGGCCCTGATCCTCAAGTGACATGGGCCCAGACAGATCCCTGCACCAGCACAGAATACAACTGAGCCTGTACTAGGCAACATATGTCTTGACATTTAATTTATCTGGTATGTTTGCAAAGAAAAAGACTAAAACATGAATCTCTGCTCTGAAGCCCCCATGCTCTGCCACAGCATTTCAAAGTCAAAGGAGCATTTAACTCTGCGGAGACGCAGCAGTACAAACCCATCCGTTTGATTATCACACTACAGCATTAGGCGTTTACAGGCTACCTAGCATCCTTGACCGTTCCTTTTGCGTATGTTGCAGGACAGAGGGTGACTTGTAAGAGACTGCGCAGTGATGCAATCAATACATGTTAAAAGAAATATCGGACTCTCTCACTAATGCCCCACAAACCCCAAGGTCATGCTGCCCCGTAGGACAAGTGTAACCCCAAAACACCCAGCGTAGACCAAGCGCGAGACTGGACAGCTCTCCTTCCAGTACATCCACCAAGTAGCAAACAGCAGGTGGGACAGCAGAGCTCCTAGTGGTTACAGCTACTCCTGGCAGGAGTGACATTGGCTGGGTAACCAGGCCAGAACTGCTCCCCTACCATGCCATAGTCCACCCCGTTGGTGATGGTGTGTCTCCGGTGCTCACCGCGACCTCTCTCATGCCGCCGAGCGTCCGCCACCCCCGTGCCGTTGCCCTCACCATGGGACTGTCCTGTGGGCTTCCCATCGGCACCTACAATGGAGGAAGGACATGCACGTTTTGAAGAGGGCCCCATGCAGGGACATACACCCAACACGAGAGGATCAGAGGATTTCTCCATATATTCTAGACCCTTTATAAAAATAAATAATACAATTTAAAAAGACCGTTTAACCCATTAAAAGTCCTGGCTGAGCACCAAAGAGGAGTCTGCAGGTTGGGGTTTCAGCCTTGCTCCGGCAGCCACTCACCTGGCCATGTCTGGGTATTGCAGAGGTCTCATGTGAGCGCATGATCTTCTGCCCCACGTGTGCTGCAGCGCAATGCACATCTTACATCCCAGTTACTCCCACGGGGCAGGATCTCACGGGTTCAAGTCAGGGAAGGCGGAGGGCCGGGCCCACCAGCGAGCGGCCAGTGCTCACATTTGTACTAAGAGCCAGTGCTGGAGGAGAACGTAACACTCTCACCTCTACTTTCTCTAACCAGGGGTGGCGGGGATGAGTGGAGAATTAATCACAGCTCCCAATAGCAGCAGCAACAACAGGTTTAGCAACTTAAGAAGTCAGCCCCACGTTACAGAGGGTGGGGAATAGGGTGACCGGATGTCCGATTTTATACAAACAGTCCCAATATTTGGGACTTTGTCTTTTAAAAGCGCCTATTACCCCCCCCTTCCCCTGTCCCGATTTTCCACACTTGCTATCTGGTCACCCTGGTGGGGAATGAAGGAAGAGTACATCTTCCAGCTCACTGCAGGGGAAAGGAGCCCTCACCTCACCATCTGTACCCAGCACTCATGCAAATCCAACCTCGAACCCTTCCAGGGGCCAAGAACAAACATATTTGACCCTGGTACGGAACCACCTTAGAGGAGATCAGATGCCAGACACCACCTCCTCCCAGAACCCAAACCCTCAGCTACCCACACGTCAAAGGACGATCCTTGTCGCATCAGCAGAGTGGGCAGCCCACGCTGCCAGTCGGATGGGCAAACGAGACCCACCAAGGTTCTCCTGGAAGATTCCGTTAAGGAGCAGAGCTTGGCAGCTAACTGAGATACTATCCATAGACCCCCCCCTGGCCTGCTTAGGGGCCTTGCCACATTTAGTCTGCCAGTGACTCTGAAGCAGGTCGATCCTTCCCCATTTTGCCACGTGACCTCCTGCGCTCATAGAGAGTACCAGACAGCCAAGAGCCACCCCATTAAATTATACTGGCGCCTTTGGTGAAGGGTGCCCGTGGTTTGTTACGCAAAGGTGCTGCTTGGGGGCGTAGGGAGCAGGGGAATCCACTCTGGGTTCCACAAGCGACCTGCTGGGCACACTGGTCTCAGAGCTTGAGACTGTCCTTTGGTGGAGCCACGCCGGGCACGGGGAGACAGGAGGGTTCAGTTTCTTTCTGGTCAACACAGGTCAGGTGCATTCAGTACGAAAAGCTACATTTACCTCCTGCAAACCCTCTCGGTCAGTCACCAGGGCCAAGGCAATCCCATGACCTGGGCTGCCTCGCCCACCGGCCCCAATGGCTGGAAACAACCAATCCACCAGCACACGCTAGGGAGAGCGGGGCCTTCAGAAAAAGTTGTGTAGGGTAGATTAGAGCGAGGACATGCCACTGGCTCCACCTGACCAGAGAGGTGGGTCAGTCCAGGGATGTGTGGGTCAGCTGTACACATGGGATTCAAGGGGCTTATAAAGCAGGCCCCCCATTTGATTTCACGAGGGCCATGACCAACTTTGGCGCTTGTCTCCTATAAAGGGCAGGCTGCTTCCAGCCAAACACTGCATTAGTCACCACCTGGCCAATTAGACCCTTAATGACTCTCACTGCCTAGTTCTCTCCAGGCTTGTGCTGCCAACCCTTCTAATCTCCATGCAAAGTCACTGGCTCCAGCACAAGCTGCCGTGCTTGGGGCTGTTCTACATTGTTCAACACCAGACGTTCACTTCTTCCCTACCCTGGCTCCTGCGGTCTATGATCCCCTCCCTCGCCAGCCCAGGGAGCATGCCAGGCCACCCCCAAGCTCTCGCAGGATTTTCCAGATCAGCAGCAGCCGATCTGCCACTGGGTCAGCACAGAGACCAGTTCCTGAATGTATGGAGACAGAGCTTTCAATGGGTTTCCTTCTCGATGGAGCCACTTTGCACAGCACTGGAGTCAGCTGTAAAGTTCATCCATATGATTTTATAGCAAACACCCACCACCACCATGGCCCCCAGGTGTGATCAGTGCCAAAGGAGCGAGATTAGCCCTGAGAGCACAAAGGAGTTTGCTTGTGCCCAGTGTCCTACAGCGAGGAGCTGAAGCTAGTACCCCTCTTTCCAGGGCAAGAGCTGCCCGCCTGCTTCCTCACTCCTGCTGTCTCCCCTTTCTCCAGCACCCCAATTTCCCCTGCTACCCACAGCAGACCCTCGCACCTCCTCACCTTTTCACCTCTCGCCCACTTCACCTCTGCAGCTTGCCCTGCCTCTTGGCACACAGACCTCTTTCCTGAAGGCAATCCTGGTTTTCTTCATTAAACCAATCCCCAAAGCATATATGGGAGCCCACTTGGATGAAGAGCATCACAGAGGTAATGACCAACCACAGCGGCTTATGCTGCTTTTACAGGCTTGTGTCTACTGCAGATTTGGACACTGCTGAGAGCGAAGACTCTGGATTTTAATCCCATCTGACCCTCTAACTCAGTGGGTAGCCGTAGGCAAGTTGACTGACCTCTGTGCACCTGAGCTGGGCCAGATGAAAGACAGAAGATAAAGCAAGAATCATGCTAATGACCAGATGCTACATGTGAGCCAGCGTTCCCCGGGGGAGAGGAATCAACTCATCAGCAGTTACAGATGGAAGGGACCTATTAGGCCATCCAGGCCCCTGCTCTGCCAGTGCAGCATTGCTCTCTGCAGACCATGGACAGGTGCCTTGTCCAGTCTAAGTTCAAACAAACAGCAGCCCAGCGTCTTGTCGCCAGCAGTACCTTGTCGCCAGACGCCTCATGGCAGTTTTACACTTTCCCCACCAGGCAATTATGCCATAAACTGCCCAAAGGGGAAGTTTCTTCTTTACCCTCCGATGGTTAGTGTTTGCCTTGTGCAATAGAAGTTATAACAAGACACCCACCCATATAACTGCCCTGTTTCCATTTTCCTGCCTGTGCTCCCCTTTCCCCTCCTTAGCACTCAAAGAGGGGCCACTACAACTGACAGGAGCTTCAGCATGGCAAGGGCAAATCCCAGGTGAGTCATGAGCTGGGGAGGGATGAAGGATGGGCCAGTTATTCAGGCACCAGCCTGAAATTCAGCAGCAGCTCTGGGTTCCATCCCCTTCCCTGCCACAAACGCATAAGAACGTAACATAAGAATGGCCAGACTGGGCCAGACCAATGCTCCATCTAGCCCAGTATCTGGTCTTCAGACAGCGGCCAATGCCAGGTGCCCCAGAGGGAATGAACGGAACAGGTAACCGTTAAGTGATCTGTCACCCATTCCCAGCTTCTGGCAAATGGAGGCTAGGGACATTATCCCTGCCCATTCTGGATAATAGCCATTGATAGACCTATCCTCCATGAACTTGTCTAGTTCGTTTTTGAACCCTATTCTAGTCTTGACCTTCACAACATCCCCTGGCAAAGAGTTCCACAGGTTGACTGTGCATTGTGTGAAAAAACACTTCCTTTTGTTCGTTTCAAACCTACTGCCTATTCATTTCATTGAGTGACCCCTAGTTCTTGTGTTATGGGAAGGAGTAAATAACACTTCCTTATTTACTTTCTCCGCACCAGTCATGATTTTTATAGCCCTCTATCATATCTCCCCCCTTAGTCATCTCTTTTCCAAGCTGAAAAGTCCCAGTCTTCTTAATCTCTCCTCATATGGAAGCTATTCCATCCCCCTCATTTTTGTTGCCCTTTTCTGAACCTTTTCCAATTCCAGTGTATCTTTTTTGAGATGGGGTGACCACATCTGCATGCAGTATTCAAGATGTGGGCGTACCATGGATTTATATAGAGGCAATACGATATTTTCTGTCTTATCTATCCCTTTCTTATGTAAATTTTTTCATTAGTAGATCTCACCTCTTTTGCCAAGCGCTTTTAGTACCATTATCTCAATTTTACGGATGGGGAAACTGAGGCACAGATACCCTGTCGGCACAAGTTCTTATGTTCACTGGCTTGAAAGGCCAATAAATTGAAAATCAATCCTCTTGCCACATTTCATCTCTGCAGCAAGTTCTGAGTCTCACCTTTTCCACAGCTTACTGGAATTCAGAGCAGAACTAAATTGCACTCCGACGAACATTCTCATCTTAAGCTCCCAGTCTGTTTTGATCTCTCTCTAATGAATTGTTGGATTTATTTGAGCCTCAGTTTCCTCTTTTTTATGATACAAGAAACTTTCCCTCTGGTTAGTTATCCCATAACTGCCTGCAAACAACAGGATCTCTTACACCTTCCCCTGAAGCAGCTGGTGCTGGCCCCTATAGGAGAAGGATGCTGGGCTAGATGGTCCGATCCAGTAGAGCAATTTCTGCGGTCCCAGAACCAGGTATAATAAAAAGGATTGGCTTGTAAGCTATAACAGGGCACTTCTTGAACTGTGATCCATGAACTACAGGAGGCATGCGGAGCACTTGCTAGTTCAGCAGTTCAGTAGCACTAAAAGACAACTAAGTACACATGGCATGCTTTCCCAATGTTCTTTGCCATTTAAGCAATTGCTGTAATAGCAACAGGGATGCTATGTGATCACAAACAAAAGGGCAGGTGGCCTCAGCAGTCACGAATGGGGCTTGATCCACAAGATCAATCATTCCGTTGAGATGAGGTTCCCACTAAATTAAAAAACGGTTGAGAGTCTGTGTTACCACCACGTTGGTTATCCAACTTAACTGGGCCATTCGTTCGGTCACATTTGCTCAGCTAGCAGGGGCCCTTTCGCTGACACACAAGACATGGCAATCATTCAGATAACCTGAACCAACTTCTGAACGGCTGCATTTCTAGCCACCCGCGTGATGTCACCTACATCACTTTAGGCAACAGGACAACTATGGGCATGTTAATGTTAAGCCCCTAATAGGTCTTGTTCATCACTATAACAGACAAGTCACCACATGAGGAGGAGTACAAGTTAAAGGGGCAACAGTGGTGGATTGGGAGCTGGAAACTGGAGTCAAGTATATATTGTGTAAGATATGCTGTACAGAGCCTGATCTGAAGTCCGTAAAAAGAATTCCGCTGGCTTCATAGGCTTGCATCAGGCCAGTAAGGAGTGAATTTTTTGTAGTCTTACATCAGAGGGAGAAACAGGTTTGCACTGCTTGAAACCAGAGCTGCAGGTGTTGGACACACCCTGGCCTTCTGCCCTCTCTACCGGAGCAATCCAGCAGCAGTGGCCCTTTTCATGATTTGAAACTATGAAATTGCTGCTGTGACACCTGCGGAAATTCAGCAAACTTCCCCACGCCAGAGAAAGCGTTTTCTTGATGTGAAAACCATCCAAAGGGTCAGATATTTCAGAGCCAATGACCAGATCACAGCCCAGCAGAAAATAACCTGCACCAAAGTCTTCAGGAAAAGCAGATAAGGCTGTAAGAGCGTGATGGCACTTATCCAGTAATCTGCGCTCCATGTGAATATTGCAATTACTCCTCCACATGATTCTGGGGAGCCAGGCTAGATTTCATCGTCCCCCTCAGCACCTCACCTTATCCGCTCCCCCAGCCAATGTTCCCAGATTCATTCATGCCCCTCAAAGGACCAGAACAGCCTCAAGCAGGGAAAAGAAGTTATATATTGAAGACCGTGGTGGATTTTAAAACCCACAACGTTCAATCACAATAAAATCTGGTGCATTTTTATTTTATTTTGGTTTTGTCAGAATGCAGGTTCTGAGAGACAGATGTCAGCCTGGCAGGCAGGGAGACGGGGGGCGGAGGGAGGGGGGAAGGAGAAATAATAATCATTTAAAAAAAACCATACAACTCCACAAGACCAATGCAGGCAATTGGTATCCACACAGCCACACACTACCATCCTTACTCCTAGTGAGTAGCATCTTTGGGCAGATAGTGATACTCTTGCTCACACGGAAAGGTAACAGACATTTTGAGTAAGCCATCTTTCAAGATGCCAAGTAGTTTTCAATGACTCTTTTGAAAGGCCGACAAACCGGCCCTTACTCTGCATGCCGTGTTGTTGGAGCCACGTCGGTCCCAGGATCTGAGCGAGACAAGGCAGAAAAGGTCATATCTTTACTTGGACCAACTTCTGTTGGCGAGAGATACACGCTTCAGAGTTTACACACAGCTCTTCTTCAGGTCGTCTCAATGAAGTCAATGGAGCTGGATGCTACTCAACATGAGCATGGGTGGCAGAGCATGGCCCGAGAGCAGGGGCCCCAAATCCTGCCACCTGCTTCTCTGTTTGTTGCCAGTGTAGAGACACCCCCATCCCCAAATTACTCCTTTAACTCGAAAGCAGCTCTCAGCTACAGCCGTGCAGGCAGAGGAGGAGAGACCAGTCAGGCTGGGAGTTTCAGGCCAGGGCGGTGCGAGGGCATTAATCGAGACAAGGTGGTGGCTATGTTCCCTGGAGCTGCGCGGCCACACAGCAGCCTATTGAGCGCCGCTCAAGGAACCTGCCCAGGGACCAGCTGTGGCCGGGACGCCCCCGCATCCCCACCTACCCAGCCCCCAACCTGCGGCAGCCGGAGCACCCCTCCCGCAACCCCAACTCTGCTGTGGCCAGCCCCAAGCACGGCCGGGGTGACCCTTCCCCGGCCCAGACCTGGTAGGGTTGGGGGAGAGGCGCCTGTCTTGCAGCCCCAGCCCCCAGAGCTGCCAAGGCGGGGAAGAGGCACCTCCCCCCCCACAGCTCAGGTGCTGCTGCGGGGAGCCCTTTCTCCCCGTCATAGCCCCTGAACACCCTCCTGCACCCCAAACCCCTCAGCCCCAGCCCAGTGCCTGCACCCCCAGCCAGAGCCCTCACACCCCTGCACCCCAACCCTCTGCCCCAGCCCTGAGCCCCCCATCCCCACCTCAGGGCCTGCACCCCCAGCCAGAGCCTTCCACACCCCCCCCAGGACCTCACCCCCAGCACCCCAACCATCTGCCCCAGCCCTGAGCACCTCATCCCCACCTCAGGGCCTGCACCCCCAGCCAGAGCCCTCACACCCCTGCACTCCAACCCTCTGCCCCAGCCCTGAGCCCCCAACCCCACCTCAGGGCCTGCACCCCCAGCCAGAGCCCTCACACCCCGGCTCCCCAACCCTCTGCCCCAGCCCTGAGCACCTCATCCCCACCTCAGGGCCTGCACCCCCAGCCAGAGCCCCCAGCACCCCAACCCTCTGCCCCCAACCCCACCACATGAATTTGGTTATGTACTTTGGTGCACATAAAATTCGTTCCACACCTGGGTGAGAAAAGGTCGAGGGAGCACGGGGTGGGGGTCCAAGCAGAGCAGCCAAGCCGAATCGAAGGCGAGCCGGAGGCTGGGAGGGACAGGCAGCCTGCGCAGAAGCTGCCGAGGGGAAGGCTCTAGCCCCAGGAGCGGCGAGGGGTCGTGTGGGAGGCGGAAAGCGGGTCTGGCTCAATCCAGCCAGCACCAGCGCCCCAGCGGGGCGCAGATACCCCCCACCCCGGGGTGCGGATCTCCAGCCACCCTCCCGACCCTGCCGCACTCACCTCTGCGCCTGCCGTGGCTCTGCCCCCCGCGGTCCCCCTCGGCCCGGTGCGCGGGGGCTCCCGGCGGGCTGGGGATCTTCTCCATGCTCCGGGACGAGCTGCCGGCGAGCCCGCTCGAGTACCTGCCCTTCTCGGCCAGCGGCCTGGGCTCCCCTTGCCCTCGGCCCGGCCCGCCCTTGGGGGCGGCGGGGCGCGCCTTGCCGTGGGGGTCGCCCCCCCCCGGGCCCGGCCGGGCCGCTTTACCCCCGTTCGCCGGGCTCAGCAGCGAGGCCCGCAGCCCCAGCACGAACCTCTCGAAGGTGAGGTAGCCGCTGGCCGGGGCCGCCTGCCGCAGCCCCTCCAGCACGCCGGGGGGGAGCTCCCGGGCCTCGGCCCCCTGCCAGCGGGACTCGATCTCCCGCAGGTGCACGTAGCCCCGCCGCCGGTCATCCAGGATGTCGAAGAGGGTCCGCAGGCTCTGCAGGAAGGCTCTGGGCAGCCCCTCAGTGCCGCAGGGCAGCGAGCGAGCCCCGCGCTCCGGAGCCATCGGGGCCGCGGACCCCGGGGCAGCCGCGGGCTCGGCGCGCTGGAGATGGTTACACCCAGTTCCGCGGGGAACGCCGCCTGGCTCGGCTCCGCGGGTTTCTTTCATTTTTTTTTTTTCTTTCTGAATGGGGGCACCCCTCTCGGTTGACGTCACTTCGTTAGCATTCTCCTTTCTCATTGGCTGGCGATGGGCAGCCCCGCAGGCTGATTGGCTGGGGAGGAAGCTGGCCGGTTTGATTTTCCAGCGCGGCGGGCCAGCCCTGCAGCTTGGTGTCATTTAAAACCTCACCCAACCCAGAGAGCCCCCTACAATGGGGCGCCGAGATCCCCCCAGCCGCCCTCTGCACCCGCCCTTCACGTTGGGTTTCTCTCCGCCACGGGGGAAAGGCCGCGGAGGGGGGAGGGATAGCTCAGGGGTTTGAGTATTGGCCTGCTAAACCCAGGGTTGTGAGTTCAATCCTTGAGGGGGCCATTTAGGGATCTGGGGAAAAAATTGGGGATTGGTCCTGCTTTGAGCAGGGGGTTGGACTAGATGACCTCCTGAGGTCCCTTCCAACCCTGATATTCTATATAGGTCTATAGGATATTTTCTACCTAATCAATGCACTCAAATCCCCAACTTTTAGTCTGTTCGGACAGCAGGGAGCTCAGGGGCCGCCTTTGTGAACAGTCTGGATTGGACCCCTATGTCCCCGACCACCACTTACACACCTATGGCTGTGACACTCGCAGCACCCATCGCTGAACTTCACCCACCACCGGGAGTCCTAGATTTGGGAAGGATGCCCTGAGGTTGGGTGGGTGTGGCCCCCCACCCCAGCCAGGGGCAAAAGCCTTATCCCTAGGGTGAGACAAGGTTCCACAACTTTCTCTTCCTCCTGCAATTAAGGGCTGTGTTTGTGGGTGTCAGTGAGCCATTTAAAACCTCACCTACACATTTCCCCCCTCTTTTTAAATACATCAGCTCACTCAGATTGTCCCAGATCTTGAGACAGCCACGTGTATCTGGGGATAAAACAGCCTAGAAAATTCTGCTGCAACCCTACCAAAACAAAAGCCAGGCGGTTGGACATCTCTGCTCCTAGCAAAGGACGCTGCATGCCCGAATGCCATGCTTGCCCTTGCTCATCCGGTGTGCCCTGCCCTTATAAACAAGAAGGAAAGTTATGTGTGGATCTATTCCTCTGAAGTACCTGTACTAACAGCAGATACATAATGGGTACACTCATACGTCCCCAGTTCTTAACAAAACAGGTAGGTCTTATTTTAGGCAGACCAGACTGGAGCTTCTCCCAGCAACTGTCCAGTCATTTGTTATGTTTTAGTTTCAACTTTGTGGAGACTTGAGAGAACCATAAATTATCTACCCCCTTTTTCCTTTGTCATGTATTGGATACGAGTCTTCCCCACATTTTGAATGGGAAGCTGAAATGAACATGCTCGTTTTCCTTTAACTTTCACAAAGTCTTAATGGCCCCAGATATCTTTGTGCAACAGTACGATAACGGATGCTGGCTGAGTTCGGGGGGAAATATAGTCAATTCACTGCTGCTGCAATCACTCAACAGGGAATGCAGGTGTATGTTTCCACAGGTTCTGCAAGATTAGTGTCTATTCTCAGTGACGGACTGTAAGATTTGTGTAGTATGCATAAAGAACAGGAGAACTTGTGGCACCTTAGAGACTAACCAATTTATCTGAGCATAAGCTTTCGTGAGCTACAGCTCACTTCATCGGATGCATACAGTGGAAAGTGTAGAAGATCTTTTTACACACACAAAGCATGAAAAAATACTTCCCCCCCACCCCACTCTCCTGCTGGTAATAGCTTATCTAAAGTGATCACTCTCCTTACAATGTGTATGATAATCAAGGTGGGCCATTTCCAGCACAAATCCAGGGTTTAACAAGAACGTGGGGGGGGGGGGGTAGGAAAAAACAAGGGGAAATAGGTTACCTTGCATAATGACTTAGCCACTCCCAGTCTCTATTCAAGCCTAAGTTAATTGTATCCAATTTGCAAATGAATTCCAATTCAACAGTCTCTCGCTGAAGTCTGGATTTGAAGTTTTTTTGTTGTAATATCGCAACTTTCATGTCTGTAATCATGTGACCAGAGAGATTGAAGTGTTCTCCGACTGGTTTATGAATGTTATAATTCTTGACATCTGATTTGTGTCCATTTATTCTTTTACGTAGAGACTGTCCAGTTTGACCAATGTACATGGCAGAGGGGCATTGCTGGCACATGATGGCATATATCACATTGGTGGATGTGCAGGTGAACGAGCCTCTGATAGTGTGGCTGATGTTATTAGGCCCTGTGATGGTGTCCCCTGAATAGATATGTGGGCACAGTTGGCAACGGGCTTTGTTGCAAGGATAGGTTACTGGGTTAGCGGTTCTGTTGTGTTGTATGTAGTTGCTGATGAGTATTTGCTTCAGGTTGGGGGGCTGTCTGTAGGCAAGGACTGGCCTGTCTCCCAAGATTTGTGAGAGTGTTGGGTCATCCTTCAGGATAGGTTGTAGATCCTTAGTAATGCATTGGAGGGGTTTTAGTTGGGGGCTGAAGGTGACGGCTAGTGGCGTTCTGTTATTTTCTTTGTTAGGCCTGTCCTGTAGTAGGTGACTTCTGGGAACTCTTCTGGCTCTGTCAATCTGTTTCTTCACTTCCGCAGGTGGGTATTGTAGTTGTAAGAATGCTTGATAGAGAATGCTTGATGTAGTATGCATGCGTGTGAACTGGTGCACCATTTTTTCCCTTTAGTTTTCTAGCTTTTGCCATCAAAGCAGCATGGAGCTTATAATTCTTTTTATTTATTCATTTATTTATACTTATTTTATTAAATCTTGAAACCTGATGCTACATAGAAGAGATGTTAAAGCAACATCCACATTTGGATTTGAACTCACAGGAAATGTAGGATATGGGCAGAAATTAATTCCCCCAGCGGTGATCAGGAAGTGCAATCAATATGGCTTTTTGTCAGGGGCTTTGTATTTATAGACATCTCTCAAGACTAAAACTCCAGTGGCAATTTGTCCAGTTACACCAAATTCTTCCTGGAGTCCCCCACAACCGTGTGTGTGCTGGAAAATCTCGACACAATAGGGTGAGTTAAGAAAGACATTTCAACCTCCCACCTGAATTTCCTGTCTCTTGTAAGTTCAGGTCACACCATGAAAGGGCTTAAATATTTCTGCCTTTTGCATGGAAATTTTAGTCCAGATTTGCCCACAGTGAACTGGGATGTAATTGCCCATTGCAATTCAATTCAATGCTTTGCAATGTTTTCCACACCAATATATCCTCTGGAGTCTGTCATAAATCAGATGACACACATCCTGCTCTTTTAAACTACTTCCATGAGCAATAATACAGTTGAAGTGAATGAGAGAGACTCATGTGGATTAGGTAATAATAACTAGCTCTTAAACATTGCTTTTCATCAGCAGCTCTCAAAGCACTTCACAATCTTTAATGTATTTATCTTCACAACATCAGTGTGAGAGAGATTCAAACTCTGCTTTTACAGTTGTTTACAATCCAGTAGGACGAACTCTCCTGGCTTAAAAAAAAGAATAACTTCAGTTCTTTCAACATAACTGATGCAAGTTGCTTATTTTGAAATCCGTTGAGGCTATTTGTACTGACATTGTGGGAAGGAGCAGAAAAGAGCATTGGGGCTGCGGTATAGGGCTTGCATAGGCTTTCTTTGCCCTGTTTTTAAGAGTTAACAGCGAGAGTGATAGTCACATCTACATAGAACACATCACCGGCCACCGACAGTACCAGGAGGTGTGAGCCGGTACGACATTGTGCATCCACTATGGGAAAGGGACTGAGAGACTTTTTCCATTGGACCATATGAACTGGAACCATAAACTCACTGAACATTAAATCCCACCAAATGAGGATAAATCCATCCTCATCATTGTATCCACTCATTATTCTCCACACCTGAACATAGCCATTATATGGACAACTTACCCCCATATCTCAATGTCTGTACTTTGACCCGTTAAACTTTTACCCCCAATCAGGGAGATTGCAGATTATGTATTCCTTACGCCACCCATTCCTAAACCGAATTTCGCGCCCCTTGATAATCTGTACCTTATTCCCTGATAACCAGAAACTTCTATGCTTAAACTCTGTCCCATTTTCTTTTTACTTCAACATCATCTTAATAAAAGTATTAAATATCTTCTTATCAGTTTAATATCTGATATGTCCTTTATTTAAGGACTGTATATTAAATTGATTTTTGAAACAGGGGGATGGAATAGGAGCTTGCTCTATCCACCCCACGCGTTGACCTGGTATTGCAGTGCTTCCAGGAACAGTGCATTTCCCTTTGGGGAGAATATGCTGGTCAGAAAAGCAGAAAGAGTTTAACTGTGATGATGCTTCTTTAAAGCTGATTTTTTGAAGTAGTTGACAGATCTGTAGTGCTTTGGTTTCTTTATAAGAAAATATTATTACAATCTTCTGGGGGTGTTTTGTGAGTCTATTGTCTTGCTAGAGAACTGTTTAAGAAGCCAGCATCTGTCTTTCTGCTGTGAGTCTTTCAACCGCATGAGGGATGAATGCTTTTCAGACGGTGGGTCTTTTGGGGAGATGGTTGGTTGGCTTTTGGTTTCTTTGTATTTTGGCGGGGGGGTTGGTAATATTTGAGGTCACATGTATATCAACAACTGTATGAGTTACATAGACTTCTCCCTACCCAGCCTATGTTCCATGTATCTTGGTTTGTAAGATCAAGACAAGGCACTAGGTGTCATAGAATCATAGAATATCAGGGTTGGAAGGGACCTCAGGAGGTCATCTAGTCCAACCCCCTGCCCAAAGCAGGACCAATCCCCAACTAAATCATCCCAGCCAGGGCTTTGTTAAGCCTGACCTTAAAAACCTCAAAGGAAGAAGATTCCATCACCTCCCTAGGTAACTCATTCCAGTGATTCACCACCCTCCAAGTGAAAATGTTTTTCTTGATATCCAACCTAAACCTCCCCCACTGCAACTTGAGACCATTACTCCTTGTTCTGTCATCTGCTACCACTGAGAATAGTCTAGATCCATCCTCTTTGGAACCC